ACAGCATCAGCCAGCTCAACCTGGGCTTTTAACTTAGTATTGCAGTCCATAGAGTACGTGAAAAGTTGCTGCAAGGCTGCAGGCAATGGCAGTGGGAAGAGGCAGATGACTAGATGACTTCTGCACTTTCAGCTGATGGAAAAGTACCACTCCCACTCTGAACATCTGGCCTTCCCTGCAAAACCTGTACTGTACCTAAAGCAGAGCACTCACACATAAATGGCTGTGTATGGAATTGCTTGCCAAAGAGGTTTCTAGCCTTTCCCTTTCCCCTAACTGCATCAGGGAAGAATTCTTATCTCTAGCTTGGTTTCCACATGAAGTTTTTCTGAGAAAGGGGCCTGGGACAAGAAGTCTGTCATGTAGTTAAGTAGGCAAGAAATCCTACTAATCCAGTTTTGTTTGAAAGTTGTTTGTCCATATGATTTTTTAAAAGTCAAGTTTAATTTCAAACATTTTTTTTCTGAGATTACTTTGGGATAATATTTAAAATGAGAGACATTTTGTAACCCTGTAAAATACATAGGGAATATAACATTCCAGTGTATACAAAGAAGGCAAATTCTTTAATCAAATAAAGAGCATTATAAAATGAGATGTTTATTAGATTCTTGACTCACTTTGGTGTCTGCTTGTTGATTCAGGATGCTGTAATGGGACCTAAGATTAAAAATTAATGACATGTTTTTTTTAAGAGAAAATAATCTGAGAGTATTCGTTGCCTTTTCTCCATGTATTGTGCTTCCTGGTGTATTTCTCTGCATTTGATATGTGTACTCCTGACAGTGTAGCTTTTGAATTTGATGCTATTTCTGGCTTTTGGGGGGATCAGAGTCTTAATTTTGTCAGGGGGCAGTTGTAGAGTCAGAAAAGTCAGGCTTTATCTTTAATTTTGGAGCTTTCTTTTCCCTGTTAGATAGACAGTGATGAGAAGTGATCCAGGGATGAGGGATGATGGGAACAATTTTTGGGAATTGTTGATAATTACCTCAGATGAAGCTGCTTACAGCTGCTTTTTTTTTTTTTTTTTTTTTTTTTTTGAGACAGTAAGTCTCACTGTGTCACTCCAGGCTGGAGTGCAGTGGTGCCATCTCAGCTCACTGCAGCTTCCTGGGTTCAAGTTACTATCCTGCCTCAGCCTCCTGAGTAGCTGGAAATACAAGGCACACCACCATGCCTGGCTAATTTTTGTATTTTTAGTAGAGATGGGGTTTCACCATGTTGGTCAGGCTGGGCTTGATCTCCGGACCTTGCGATCTATCTGCCTTGGCCTCCTAAAGTGTTGGGATTACAGGGGTGAGCCACCGCAGCCGGCCAAAGCTGCTTGGTTTCTTATGCCTCTTTTTTATTTAACTTGGAAAAACAATTGAATGTCAAAAAATTGGAAGGCAAATTATTCTCACTAATGAATATCTGGGATGAGAAAATTTGTATTTAATGTTGAAAGCTTGGTGAAACAAAGTATCTGGTCTAATGTTGCTGAAGTGTGGCTTGACTCTTGGAGTGAGACTGTAGCCTTAATGGAATGGAACGATGGAAGAACCAAAACCATGCCATGCCCCCTGACTAGCTGCTAATCCTTCTTCAGCATCAAGTGGACTTTCTGTTGGCCTCCTGTGAGGGAGACTGGCAAAATAATTAGATCTGACTGAGCATTCTGCTTAATGTAGGAGGCTTGTGGTTCCTGCTCTGGATTAATTCCATGTAGAAGAAATAGGGAGCACACCTCTGGACAGGAGTTTTTTTGTTTGTTTGTTTGTTTTTGTTTTTTTTTGAGATGGAGTTTCATTCTTGTTACCCAGGTTGGAGTGCAATGGCGCGATCTCGGCTCACCGCAACCTCCGCCTCCTGGGGCTGCCTCAGCCTCCCGAGTATCTGGGACTACAGGCACGCGCCACCATGCCCAGCTAATTTTTGTATTTTTAGTAGAGACGGGGTTTCACCGTGTTGACCAGGATGGTCTTGATCTCTTGACCTCGTGATCCATCTGCCTCGGCCTCCCAAAGTGCTGGGATTACAGACGTGAGCCACCGCGCCCGGCAGGAGTTTTTTTTTAAGGTCTTTTATTCCTTTACTCACTGTAGCTTCAAAGTTGTCAACCCAAGCATCTCTGATGGGAAACTTTGCCCTCCAATTAATTTTTCAATTGTGAACAGCTTTAAAGTTGTTCACACTGGATAGGATCTGAGATTTCCAGGGCTGACAGAATAGCTGTAAGTTCACATCTGGCAGAGCTTATTGGAAGGAGACGGGAGAAAAATGGAAAAAGTCATCCTCAAGAAGATTAACCAGAAGCAATGACTGTACCGGCTTATAAAGCCTGTTTTTTTTTTTTTTTTTTTTTTTGCCAAGTTAGACAGTGTTAACTGCAATTAGTACTCAACATGTATGAGAACAGGGAATAGGGCTTCTGTCTTGTAGGCTTTAGAGGAATCTCAAGCAAAGCCTCTCAATTGATTTTCCTTTGCTATGCATATCTGTTTTATTACAACCCCCTCACCCCCAGTTCCCTCTTAGAAGATCCACAAGTAGGTTGGTTGCTGTGCATTGCTGTTACCCAAGGGCAGACAGCAACCCTACAAATAGCTGTCTTTTTTTTTTTTTTTTTTTTTTTTTTTTTTTGAGACGGAGTTTCGCCCTTGTTACCTAGGCTGGAGTGCAATGGCGCGATCTCGGCTCACCGCAACCTCCGCCTCCTGGGCTCAGGCAATTCTCCTGCCTCAGCCTCCTGAGTAGCTGGGATTACAGGCACGTGCCACCATGCCCAGCTAATTTTTTGCACTTTTTAGTAGAGACGGGGTTTCACCATGTTGACCAGGATGGTCTCGATCTCTCGACCTCGTGATCCACCCGCCTCGGCCTCCCAAAGTGCTGGGATTACAGGCTTGAGCCACCGCGCCTGGCTCAAATAGCTGTCTTAACCTCTTATCCTGGGAAGCTGGTGATTGATACAGAGACAGGCCTTTAGAAAAATTAGACTGTCTTTCCAAATCAGGCTGTTTTGTCTCTCACAATTGCAAATCAAAGCTATTAGGCATTTTTTAGAAGCTTGGGCCGCCTCTCCCATTCTCCACCAATGTTTTTTGCCCTGCTGTTCTTAGGGCAGGGGCTAGGTGGTTATTTAGGGTCTAAACCAATTCTGGAAAGCTGCCCTAGGTGTACTCTGTGTGATTAGATTGATTACCAAACCAGGACAGGGGCTGTCTGAAAGAAGCATTAGAAATTCAAGACAATGAGAGAAATCAAAATAGGTCTTGTTTCCCATTCTTTCGTCCAAATGAATGCTTGTTCTTTTCAGCTCATTAGGAAGGTCCTTAGCTGTGGAGGTACACAAGACCAGTCTTCCATACTACCCAGATTTCCCACTCAGCTTGGATGCTTGTTAACTTTGGGTGGAAGCAGACTGTGCAATTTCTTTTATTTTTTTTATTTTTTTTGAGACGGAGTTTCGCTCTTATTACCCAGGCTGGAGTGCAATGGCGCGATCTCGGCTCACTGCAACCTCCGCCTCCTGGGTTCAGGCAATTCTCCTGCCTCAGCCTCCTGAGTAGCTGGGATTACAGGCACGCGCCACCATGCCCAGCTAATTTTTTGTATTTTTAGTAGAGATGGGATTTCACCATGTTGACCGGGATGGTCTCGATCTCTTGACCTCGTGATCCACCCGCCCCAGCCTCCCAAAGTGCTGGGATTACAGGCTTGAGCCACCGCGCCCAGCAGACTGCAATTTCTAAGACAAGCTGAAAAGAGAGCTTTGAACTTTTCTCCAAGTTGTTGCAGGGTCACTGCTACTACTACGCCTACACCAATGATGCCTGAGTTCAGGATCCAGAGGCCAGAAAGGGATAGCTTTCTGGAAGAGGGTGTGTACCTACAAGGATTGCTTGCTGTATGAGCAGTAATCAAATCTCTGGAGCAAGAGGGAGTACAATTTGAGAGGAGGGACAAAGTGAGGAATGTGTCAAGGCAAAGGCAGGAGTATGGAAATCCACTCCTGACATTCGTAGCCAAGTGCAGCGGGCCTTAGAAAAATCCACTCTTCCTTCCACACCCAGGCTTTGCCCTCTCCCCCTGCTTCCACTTTGGAAAGTCTGAAGCATGCCTGAAAAGCTGTTTTCTGCTTTCTTACCCTTTCCTCCTCCCCCTTTCCTGAGCTCCCAGCTGCTCGACCTCTTGCGTAACTATGAGAGAGCACTGAGTTTTTTGATGGGCTCCAGATGTGGAGTGGGGCGGGGATAGAGAGTGGGGGCGGTAGGTCTTTAGTCCCCTGAGCGCTCTAACTGTGGGAACATGGAGGCCCGACAGCAGGAGAGGACACACTGCACAGTGCCTTTATTATGGGGTCAGCTGGTCCCTGTGTTGGGAGGACAGTGAGAGAAGTTGGGTGCTGTTTCGCCCTCTGCCTCAGCATCTGCTGCCTCCGTGGCAGGCTTGCTTATTCCCTGAAATTCCTCCTCCCCGGTACAGTAAAGAGGAGCCGGGGGTATCCCAATTTGAACCCCTCCCCTCAGTGCTAGGTCTTGGCACATGAGATACAACAGTTTGGGTTTTTTTCTTTCCTTCTTTTTTAACATCCCCAAATAGCCTGAATATTACTGTTGTGATCTGCCTCACGAAGGTCCACCAGAATTACTTTCATGACTTCAAACAGTATGAAGAGAGGAAAAATTAAGAGTCTCGCTCCTTAAAACCTAGGGCTGGTACCCACAACATATTCTGGAGCTTGAATGTTCCACCTCCATTAGCTATAGCAGGTGGTAGCAAAGGGCGCCCTCTCCCCTCCCCATTCTTGTCTGCTGCTTGGCCTCGGTCTGCTTCAGTCTCTAGCCGTGGGGGGGCCCCCTGCTAAGGCTGGCCCTGTCAATGAGTGACCAGAGATTCCTGCAGTTCAGCCTCCTGCTGTTCCTGGGTTAGGGAGAGAGGCCACAAACTAAAGTCACTGAATCAGAACAGCACTTATCCATCTCAAAGAGGACAAATAATTTTTTGCTATCCAACCCAGCTGGAATTTAGACCAGACTTACTGGCTTTCTGCTCCTTCCTTCAGTGAAAAAGAGTCTCCAGGGTCCCTCTAGGGCAGGCCAAAGAAGTTCAGTCTAGCTGAGTTCAGCTCCCTAGGGCCTCCCCAGCCAGTCTCCTGGGCCAAGAGCTGGCTTTGCAAGGTAAGGATCCACTGTCAGCATTGGATTTCTGGGTGGATGTTGAGATGGAGAATGACTTCAACCTAGCTCGATTTGGGGACTGCTTTTAGGTGTTTAGTGCCCCCTTCTTTTCCTTATTAACCCCCACTCCTACAGAGGCCCAACCTACTACAGGTGGGTGTGCTCGACTGTTTGTCTATAGTTTGCCTCTATCTCCCAATCTGTAATCCAGCAGTTCTGTCAGGGTGGAGGGGTGTGGAACTCCATGGGGGCAAGATGAGCATTCCATTCAGCTTTCCTATGCTTTGGAGTTTGCATGGCACTTTAAAGTGTCTTCTTGTGCCTATCCTTAGAAAAGTCTGTGAAGCCTGGCCGGGCGCGGTGGCTCAAGCCTGTAATCCCAGCACTTTGGGAGGCCGAGGCGGGTGGATCACGAGGTCAAGAGATCGAGACCATCCTGGTCAACATGGTGAAACCCCATCTCTACTAAAAATACAAAAAATTAGCTGGGCATGGTGGCGTGTGCCTGTAATCCCAGCTACTCAGGAGGCTGAGGCAGGAGAATTGCCTGAACCCAGGAGGCGGAGGTTGCAGTGAGCCGAGATCGCGCCATTGCACTCCAGCCTGGGCAACGAGCGAAACACTCCGTCTCAAAAAAAAAAAAAAAAGAAAAAAAAAGAAAAGTCTGTGAAGCCTGATGTGTATGGTTATCAATCCCATTTATGGCTCTTCATGGTGGGGTTTGGAATAGGGTGAGGGGAAGGGGTGACAGGGAGAAGACCTGGGTACGCTCACTAGATGTTCTGGAGATGTTGAGAGCATGTTGTAGGAGCTTCGATTTAGGAGGTTCACTGGGAGCCAGAGGAGGTTTCAGGCATCTAAGGCAGAAAGAAAGAGAGGAGAGTTTGGGGGGCGGGAGAACGGATTGTCAAAGACACCTTCTCAGAAGCGCGTTAAAGCCTAGGAATGGAGGGTGGTCTAGGAGAGTCGAGAGGGCAGGGTGGGAGGAGAGTGGGGTGTGTGGTGGTGGTGGTGGTGGTGGTGGAGAGCCCAGCTGCAAAGATGAACAAAGCGGGCGCTGTGCAGGCGGGGGGAGGTGCTGCTGTGGGAAAGGGTGGGTGGGGGGACCTTGGGCTCCAGCCCCACAAGGGCGTCTTCTTCGGCTGGCCAGGCGGACGGGACGGGGCACGGGGGGGGGCGGGGACTGGTGGGAGGGGGGCGGGACAGGCTCGCTCTCCTCCTACTCAGCGGGCTCCGGGAGAAAAGCAACAGTGTCCTCCTGAGCCTAAGGCCACCTCGGCCGAGCCGAGCCGGGCAAAGAGACCAGTGTCTCCCTGTCCCCCCGCCTCTAGGTAAGAGCGCCCCCTCCCACTGCATTTGCGGGTCCCAGTCTCTGCGGTGCTAGGACTGGATAAGGGGAAGTCTCCGCGGCCTGGCAAGAGCCCTGAGATCAGCTGCAGACTAGGCAGCTCGGCAGAAACCCGTGGGGGAGAGAGAGCACCCCAGGTGAGTGCGTGGGGGCGAAAGGAGCGGTGTGGGGCGTTTTCCTGTAAGCCGTTTGCTTTGGCTTCCCCGGGCCACTGCCATCGCCACCGCCAGAGGGGGCCGTGGCACTTCCCCCCCCCGTCCGCCCCCAAACCCCCCCTCCTGCGTCCGCACAGTGAGGGACGCTGATCCCGGCCCCATCCAGACTCTCCCGCGGGCACACAGTCGGCCGGGCGGACACTCGCGGGGTATCGGGTGGCCAGCGTGCGAGCCGGTTTTCGTCCTTCAGCGCCCCACACCTCACCCTATCCCCCCACAGCAGGACCTTGGGGCGGGGGTATCCCCTGGGACGTCTCCGCCCCTGTCCCCAGGCCCGCCGCCTTGATGGACCAGGAAGGGATTCCGAGTCCGGCTCAAAGTCTTGAGCGTCTAGGAGGGACGCTTGGGGGTGTCTAGGAGATGAGAAGCCCGTCTGGGGCCTCTCACGCACTCCCCAAGGCCCCACGTCCTCGGGGGCAGGGGAGGCCGCCTGGGGAGCCTTGCCACGCCCGCGCGGTCCCGACTGGAATCCCTAGCGGAGTTCCCCGGAGCAGAGGCTGGGCCAAGTCATCCGGGCTCCCCCGGGATAGGGAAGTGCGGGCGGGAGGCTGGGTGGGGGCGCTGGCTCAGGGTGGCCGAGGCGCCCGCTGCCGCTTCCGCAGAGGCGGGCTCCAGGGGGACTTGGCCCGGCGACAGCGCGGCCCGGCGGGGTACCCAGGGCTCCGGGGCGGGGCTGCATTCTGGGCCGTTAGCTCAGCGGTCCTGGAGGCTCCGGAGGCTGACTCATCCGGCTGCGGGCTCACCCCCCAGCCCGCACACGCAAACGCGGGCGCCCCACCACACCCGGCTCCCACGCGGCACACAGGCACGCCTCCGCCACACTTCGCACACGACCCTGCGTCAGGCCACCCGGACACACCCGGACCCGCCCACACGCCGAGGCCTTCCCACGCACTCCACGCCCCGCGCCTCACAGGAAACCACCCCCATCTCACGCAGCCCCTCACACCCGCAGCCCCGCTTACACGCACCCCAGCTCACACACACCCCGCAGTTCACACACGCAGCCCAGTCACACAGGAGGTCCCAGCTCACACAATAACCCATCACACACACAGCCCAGCTCACACACGCAGCCCAGTCACACAGGAGGTCCCAGCTCACACAATAACCCATCACACACACAGCCCAGCTCACACACGCAGCCCAGTCACACAGGAGGTCCCAGTTCACACACGAGGCCCAGTCACATACAAGGCCCCAGTTCACACACAGGACGCCCAGCTCACATACACAGTCCCAGTCTCACACACAGCCCACCTCACACACAGCCCCAGTCACACACGCAGCCCACCTCACACACAGCCCCAGTCACACACACAGCCCAGCTCACACACACAGCCCCAGTCACACAGGCAGCCCAGCTCACACACAGTCCCAGTCTCACACACAGCCCAGCTCACACCACAGTCCCAGTCACACACACAGCCCAGCTCACACACACAGCCCAGCTCACACCACAGTCCCAGTCACACACGGAGCCCAGCTCACACCACAGCCCCAGTCACACACACAGCCCAGCTCACACACAGCCTCAGTCACACACACAGCCCAGCTCACACACACAGCCCCAGTCACACAGGCAGCCCACCTCACACACAGCCCCAGTCACACACGCAGCCCAGCTCACACACACAGTCCCAGTCTCACACGCAGCCCAGCTCACACCAGTCCCAGCCACACACGGAGCCCAACTCACACCACAGTCCCAGTCACACACACAGCCCAGCTCACACACACAGTCCCAGTCTCACACGCAGCCCAGCTCACACCACAGTCCCAGCCACACACGGAGCCCAGCTCACACCACAGTCCCAGTCACACACACAGCCCAGCTCACACACACAGTCCCAGTCTCACACGCAGCCCAGCTCACACCACAGTCCCAGCCACACACGGAGCCCAGCTCACACCACAGTCCCAGTCACACACACAGCCCAGCTCACACCACAGTCCCAGTCACACACGCAGCCCAGCTCACACCACAGTCCCAGTCACACACACAGCCCAGCTCACACCACAGTCCCAGTCACACACGCAGCCCAGCTCACACCACAGTCCCAGTCACACACACAGCCCAGCTCACACCACAGTCCCAGTCACACACACAGCCTAGCTCACACACACAGCCCAGACACACACACAGTCCCAGACACACACACAGCCCAGCTCACACCACAGTCCCAGTCACACAGGCAGCCCAGCTCACACCACAGTCCCCGTCACACCACAGTCCCAGCTCACACATGCAGCCCAGCTCACACCACAGTTCCAGTCATACATGCAGCCCAGCTCACACATACAGCTGCAGTCACACAGCCCAGCTCACACCACAGTCCCAGTCACACAGGCAGCCCAGCTCACACATGCAGCCCCTCACACCACAGTCCCAGTCACACACACAGCCCAGCTCACACCACAGTCCCAGTCACACACACAGCCCAGCTCACACCACAGTCCCAGTCACACAGGCAGCCCAGCTCATACAGCTGCAGTCACACACGCAGCCTAGCTGACACGGCAGCTCCCTCACACCCGCGGTCCCTCACACACATTCAACCGCCCTTCCCGCAGCTGCCAGGCTGGGAGCGGGCGGTGTCTGTGGGGCCGCCCCGTTTCCCGGCCGCGCAAACAAGCGGCTCCTTCTCCCTACCCCGCCAAAGAAAGGCCGCTTGTCAGGGGCGGGCGGGCGGCCGGGGCAGGCGCCCAACACTGCGGCCTTGTCCCATGCGGGCGGCCTGGGCAGGGCAGGCCGAGGGGAGCACGGGGCCGCTCCTTTGCGGAAACCTCCCACCCTCGGTGCTGCGGACCGCAGAGAGGCACCTTTCCACCACCGGCAACCCACGCAACAGCCCCGGCTCCACCCGCGCTCTCCCCACTCCCCGCCTCCTCCGGTCGCCCACCTCTCCTCTCTCCCGCCTCCGGGGTCCCGGGTCGGCCCAGCCTCCCTCTTCTCCGCCTCCGCATCTCCCCTCTGCTGCCCTCAGTAGCTCCTCGCGCATCCCCAGTCTTCCCATCTGTAGTCGCGACCCGCCTGTCCCGTGTCCCCCCGACTCCTCCACCTCTGTGCTCCTTAGTCCTCCGCATCCTCTGCCCGCGGGCTCCTCCTCCCCAACTTTCATTTTTCCGGGTCCCTCAATCTGCCTTTCATTTTCCCCTCCACACCCCGGCGGCTCCCCTCCCCGCCCGGTGCCTCTGCAGACCCCGGTTCATCTCTGCCTGGCTTTTCTCATCCTCCAGTTCTCTCGGCCCCCTCCCGACTCAGGCGTCCCCGCTGGGCTCCCCGCCTCAGTTTCCTTCCCTTCCTGACTCCTTCCTCTGCCGGCCGCCCTTCCTCGAGGGCGGATGTGCGCCGGGAGGGCGAAGGCGGCGGCCGAGAGGACCCCAGCTCGGCCCCGTGGACCTCCCGCCACAGCCATGCGCCGCTCGCGCCTTGGCCTCGGCCGGCCCCCAGGGACACAGGTGAGGCCGGGCGACCCGCGGGGCTCCGGGGGGCGCCCGAGCAGTGGCGCCGCGGAGGGCCGGGGCTGGCCCTCCGGGACTGGCTTTGGACCTCTCGTCTTGGGCCCCCTGGGAGCCCGGGAGCTGCGTCGGTGCCCGCGGGTGCCGGAAGCGGTCCGCCCTTCCCGCGCCTCCCTCGGGCGGGTGCCGAGACCCCCGAGGGGTGACTCTGGGCGCCCCACTCGGCGGAGAGGGCTGCGGACTGGTATCGCGCGTGGCTGGGGTGCCGGCGCGATCCCGCCAGGGAGGAAACCGAGGGACCAAGCCGGGGTCACCCAGCCGGCGCCCAGACCTCGCGCACACTCGGCCCTGCCTGCCGCGCGTCAAATCCAGACACCCGGGCCTCTGCCGCTCGGCTCCGGAGGCGGCGCTGGGGCGTCTGTACCCAGCGTGCGGGAGGAGACCCCGGGCCGAACGCGCACCGCAGGGGGCCTTTTTTTTTTTTTTTTTTTTGGCTACGAGGCAGGGCGGGCGGGTAATGACAGCCGGGATGCTTGGGAGCCGCGGGCGGGACGAAAACCGGGCAGCCGGTGGGGGCGTCTGTAGCGCAGCGCCCCTCCGCCGCCCCGGCCAGGGCGGGGGTCAAGGTGAGGGCGCCCCCAGGTGGCCGCTCTCGGCCGCGCCGATCGGCCTTTGGGAAAGCACCGCCTGAGTGCAGGGCCGGTTGTCCTGGTGTCTCTTTCCACTTCTCTTGGATCCGGTTACTGTGCTGGGGACACAGCCTCGCACCTCCCAATCTCTTCATCGCTTATCTTCTCCCTACACCTCTCTCCTTATCTCTCCCTCTCCTTTGCCTCCTTATTCCCCTCTCGTCTCTCCTTTAATCACTCTTGTTCCCCATCGGCCTTACTGCTTTACAATATTTATTTCCACTTGAAGTTCTTCGGTGTAAATAAATGAGCACACCACAGCTGCCCCACATGGCGATCGTGACAAATACTCCACTGTGACAAATGAATAAACCAAGGCCCAGACAGGTGAAGTGCCTCGCTCAAAGTCACAGAGCTCGTAATAATAGATGGCATTTTTGCCGGGCGCGGTGGCTCAAGCCTGTAATCCCAGCACTTTGGGAGGCCGAGGCGGGTGGATCACGAGGTCGAGAGATCGAGGCCATCCTGGTCAACATGGTGAAACCCCGTCTCTACTAAAAATACAAAAAATTAGCTGGGCATCGTGGCACATGCCTGTAATCCCAGCTACTCAGGAGGCTGAGGCAGGAGAATTGCCTGAACCCAGGAGGCAGAGGTTGCGGTGAGCCAGATCGCGCCATTGCACTCCAGCCTGGGTAACAAGAGCGAAACTCCATCTGAAAAAAAAAAAAAAAAAAAAAAAAAAATAGATGGCATTTTTATAGTGCTTCGCTTTCACAGAATGTCATTTAGTATAACACCTGAATGTTCAGATAGTCCTTTAAAAAAAAAAAACTGACAGCTTTAACGGGGTATAATTTACATACTATAACATCACCCAACTTAAGTATGCAATTCAAAGACTTTTCATATATTTACGGAGCCGTGCAATCATCATCACGATTTAATTTGAAAACATTCCCTCCCCTACCCCCACCATATTTGTGCCCTTTTACAGTAACTCCGCATTCCACCCCTAGCCCCAGGTAGGCACTGATTCAGTCTTTCTTTTTTTCATTACTCTAGTTTTATAGAATAATGACTTGACAATCAGAGAAGTTAAATAACTTGTCGAGGATCTTATAGCTATTAAATAAATAAAGTCAGAGTAGAATATAAGGCTTTATGTATCCCAGTCTAAAGTTCTTTCTACCAAAGGATGATGTTTCTCCACCATTATTTATTATTTTGTTTTTCTTAACCCCTCTTTTTCATAAACTCCCCATTCCCAACCCACTCTCTTGCCTCTCCTCCCTCTGAAAATGGTGAGGGATTTTCCTGAGTCTCAGGAATCAGTACAACAATCTTTGTCCTTGGAAATTCTTCTCCATGGCCAGGAATCCTGGGGAGATGCCAGGCCAGCTTGGGGCTTTGCATAGGTTAATGGTGTTTTCCTCCCCTCTTCCCTGGCAGTCTTGGGGTGGGCCCCAGCCTGTGTTCCGGCCTCTCTTCCGCCAGCTTCGGTGGAAATGGTGACGGAGATGATGCAGTCCAGGTCCGGAAGGGTGGAAGCTTGGAGGGTAAATTTAGCAATGTCATAGCTAAGGTCCTCGGGACCCACTGCCAGGGTCAGACACTCCTTGGAATGCTGGCTGCTGCCCCTACTTCCTTTCCAAGTCCCCTGGCTTGAAGAGAGAGTGGAGGGAAACCCTTCTTCTCTAGGTCTGTCTCCTTAACCCTCAGCTACACTCTTAGCTTTCCCCAGTAACATTTCAGCAGCAAGTAGGAAGTTTCTCAGCTTAGCTAGTTGGCCAAGAGATGGGCATGGGAGCACACATTAGTACACAAAGGTCCTCACATCTCAGATGCCAAAAACATGAGCCAGGGGGGAGAGATGGGTGGTGGGCGAGGGGTGGTGGGGTGGTGGTGGGAGGATTCAAGTTCTGGCTCTGGAATCTTATTCCTGGCTGTATGGGCCTAAGCTTCCTGTAGCACCTAGCCAATTAAGAACCCAAGAGTTAGGCTGGATGTAGTAGCTCACGCTTGTAATCCCAGAACTTTGGGAGGCCAAGGTGGGCAGATCACTTGAGGTCAGTGAGTTTGAGACCAACCTGACCAACATGGAGAAACCCCATTTCTTCTAAAAACACAAAAATTAGCCGGGTATGATGGTGTGTGCCTGTAATCCCAGCTACTCGGGAGGCCAAGGCAGGAGAATTGCTTGAACCAGGGAGGCAGAGGTTGTGGTGAGCTGAGATCATGCCATCACACTCCAGTCTGGGCAGTAAGAGTGAAACTCCGTCTCAAAAAAAAACCAAAAAACAAAAAACAAAACAAAACAAAAAACCCAAGAGTGAAGAGCCCAATATTCCCAGTATTAATTACCACTAAAGTTTTTTGTTTTTAATTTTTCAGCTGATTGTTTTGGGTTGAAATTGCTTTCTGTGGAAGAAAAGATATAGGAGTTGAGACATCTAGAGATAGCAGGAATGGCTGAGTTTTTCTTTTGTGTCTCCTTTAAGAAAACATCCTACTAAACCCCTGGGGACAGAGACAAAGGGCAAAGAGGAGAATGAAAGTTTACAGGAGGGTGGTCCTGTTTTAGCCCTGCCACCTACCTGGGGGCCCTCTGGCTACCAGGGTCTTTGAAGGGGCTTCCCTGCTGCTTCTCCCACTGTGGTAGATTTTCCCCACCCTGCTTAAGGCTCCACATGGTCAAGGGTCTTCAGCTGTCAAAATCTGGGTTCTGAGTAGCATAGGGCAAGCAAGCACAGAAGTATAGATTGGGCCCTATAGGACTGTTTGAGCTTACAGTGGCAAGGGGCAGGACTGGTGTGGTATAGCATCCATGCTGCGGCTGGAGACCTGGCACCGCTTCTGGACAACTCCCACCCAAGCTGTTTAGCTGCCTCTACCTGCCGTCAGCATGACCATCTGGGGAATGATGGTGACTGGTGCTACCTCTGCCCTGAGAACCCTGCCACAGAACCTTCTTCTTTCCCTCTTCTGCCCTGGCCTCCCCACTCACTGGCTTTCTGCTGTGTCCTTAGGAGCTCTGGAGCCTTAGGATCATGGACACTCTCAATAGGAACCAAATAGGCCCTGGATGCAAGACCCAGACCATGGTACAGGTAAGTGGGATCAGGGCTGTGAGGCAAGACAGATATAGTGGGGATGGGATCAGCTCTTCTACTCGCTTGTGGTCCCAGCCCAAGGATGAAAGTAGCAATTCTGTTCCTCTCTCCCCTTCCCCAGATCCCAAGCCTATTAACAGCTCAGTCTTTATTTGAATCAGGTTAATTAGTTCACCCAGAAACTACCCATGGAAAGTCATAAAGCAGTTTACAGATTGACCCTGGGCTGTATCACTCTCCTTGATCCATGCCTCTATCTTCCTTACACTTGAGCTTAGCAGGGGCAAGCAATGGCCAAATGGATAGCCATGGACGAGTCTGCAGGGAGCTTCACTGGCCCTCCTCTAGAGTATCCCTCCTGCTTATCAAATGCTACCCCCATCCCCATCCCTTTCTCCTTGCTTCTGTTTTAATAGACAAGAGAGACAGTTAAGCCAAGACTTGAAATAAATCCAGTGGGACGAGTTAGTGTCCTAGATTCAGATCTAATTACAATTTAGTGGAATAATGCTCTGTGTAAGATTTTGTGCTAAGCCTTTCATCACCCTCAGAGCCCTTTGGAGAGGGGCAAGGGCTGAAGAGAGTGCCGGTGTGACAGGTTTAGGGTGGTAAGGTGCTGGCCTGGAGTCTAATGATGCTCATCCTCCACCCCTACTACCTACAGAAAGGACCCTTGGACCTGATTGAGACAGGCAAAGGGCTGAAAGTGCAAACGGACAAACCCCACCTGGTAAGCCTGGGCAGTGGACGACTCAGCACAGCCATCACTCTCCTGCCGCTGGAGGAAGGTAAGTATGGACAGGGCATCCCACTTGCCACGCCTCCGTCCTTATAGGCATTCCTGCTCTGGAGGTCCAGCTCATGCATGTGTTGGGGTCGTTCTACTGTCTGGTGGCCATGCTGGCCTCCCACCTCACCAGCTTGCTTCCCTTGTCTCCTGCCTTCCTTGATAGATAATCTGGCTCCATGACTGGGCTTAAAGATCAGTTTAGAAAAAAGGAGGAGAGGCCAGGCACAGTGGCTCATGCCTGTAATCCCAGCACCTTGGGAGACCAAGGCAGGTGAATCACAAGGTCAGGAGTTCGAGACCAGCCTGGCCAATATGGTGAAACCCCATCTCTACTAAAAATACAAAAATTATGGGCAGGCATGGTGTCTCATGCCTGTAATCCCAGGACTTTGGGAGGCTGAGGCCGGTGGATAACGAGGTCAGAAGTTCAAGACCAGCCTGGCCAACATAGTGAAACCCTGTCTCTACTAAAAAATAAAAAAAATAGCTGGACATGGTGGCGTGTGTCTGTAGTCCCAGCTACTCGGGAGGCTGAGGCAGGAGAACCACTTGAACCCGGGAGGTGGAGGTTGCATTGAGCCAAGATTGTGCCACTGCACTACAGCCTGGGCGACAGAGCAAGACTACTTCTCAAAAAAAACAAAAACAAAAACAGGAAAGCATATTGCTTTTAGCAACCAACTGGCCAAGAAGAAAGAGGGCCCCACTGTAGGGCATATCTGGCATGGGAGGCTGTACTGTAGGTGGAGAATGGAGAGGTGGGAGTGGGGGCAAGATCTCCCAAGATAAGGCCCTGGCATGGCCCCCTTCACCTTTCAGCTTCTGCCCTCCCTCTCTCCTCTCCCGGCTGCACTTGTTGCCTGGGTGATACTACATTCTCCACATTCTCCAAATACCAGTCCCAGGGGCTCTGCCGGGGGAGGGGCTGTTCTTGCTACAGTTAGGGGAGAGGCTGGACTGAAGAGAGAGGCTAGTGAGGGAGAGGAAGTGTTGCAGGTAGCAGAAGCAGGGGAGAGAAGCAGGAGAGAAAGGGAGATTTAGAAGAAAGGAGGAGTAGGATGAAGGGGAAAAAGTAAAAAGGACAATAGGGAGAGGCACATGGGGGAACAAGGGAAGATCTGCAGAAAAGCGGTCTTCCTTCTCCATCTGTGGAGTCTGGGTCCTAACTTATGCTACCTGGGCCTTCCCATCTCTGGGCCTCCCATTCATAGGCAGAATTTTCTCTTTTTGAGAAGAGCTTCTATCATTTACTGTGTAGACCAGGCTCAGGGGCCCAGTAGGGGTAGCCACTGGTGGGCAGAGATTCTCCCTGGAGTAAAAGGTAGAAATGTGTTTCCACTGTGGCCTTCCTTGCCCTGTCACTGCCTCCTCACCCTGGACAACCCCTCTGATTCAGTGTGCCTCTTGTCTCCAGGGAGGACGGTGATTGGTTCTGCAGCCAGAGACATCTCACTACAGGGCCCAGGCCTGGCTCCAGAGCACTGCTACATCGAGAACCTGCGGGGCACCCTCACCCTCTACCCCTGTGGCAATGCCTGCACTATTGATGGGCTCCCTGTCCGGCAGCCTACCCGGCTCACTCAGGGTAAGGCTAGACACCTCCAGATGGAGGAGGCCTCTGTTTAAAGGCTTGTGTGTGTTAGGCTCAGTGGAGACCGGCTGCGGTGGTTGCCATGGTAACTGCCTGAGTGGCCCTACTGGGAATGGAGTGCTCAGGTACATCTGGATGTGGCCAAACAACATCCCAAACTCTTTCAGTATCCAGATATGTTTTCAACCTGCTTTTCTTCTCTGGTCACTCCCAACCTGCCTCCATCTACTACGGCGAGAGAAGAGGTTCTGATTCCTGCCATCAGAGGGCCTGGGGCATGGTGGGGTTCTTAGTGGTTGTTGGGGAAGAGCAATCGGAGGAGTAGTGAGAGGGTATCAATGGCATTGTTCCATGATGCCAAGAGGAAGTTGTTTTGAGAAGCTGGAGAGGAGGACAATACTTCCTGATGGGGACGGGGCAAGGGCAAGATCTGAGGGCATGCCTGCTCCTGTTATAAGACTGCTGACAGTAGCAATGGGATATATACTGTTGTGTAAGGTAGCTCTAAAAACTAGGCCCCTAGCTGGGTGCGGTGGCTCATGCCTGTGAACTCTGGAGGCCGAAGAGAGCGGATCACTTGAGGTCAAGAGTTCAAGAACAGCCTGGCCAACACGGTGAAACCCTGTCTCTACCAAAAATACAAAAATTATCCAGGCATGGTGACGCGTGCTTGTAATCCCAGCTACTCAGGAGGACGAGACAGGAGAATCACTTGAATCACTTCAGAGGTTGTAGTGAGCTGAGATGATGCCATCATACTCTAGTCTGGGCAACAGAGTGAGACTCCATCTCAAAAATAATAATAATAATAATAATAATAAATAAAAATTAGGCCCTTAATTACTATGGTTACCAGGCAGGTAAGCAGTTGGCCCAGGTGGCACTTTGACAGACCAGGTGTACTCATCTTGGAAACAGGGTTCTGGGCATCAATTCATACAGTAAATTGTCAGATTAGGAGAATGAGAAAAGCAGATTTGGGTGGGGGTTAGAGATGAGGTCGAAGGTTAACAGGACAGGAACTTTGGGCTAAGCCCGCCTCTGATGCCCTGGCATTGTTTTCTGCGGGCTCTTACTGCCTAGAAGCCCCTTGGAAGTGGCCATCCTACTCACTTTCACTCCCCTGTCTCCTCTCCTCTTCATCCCCCTTAGGACCTTTCAGTGTTACCTCCCTTCACAGCTGATCCAGGAGACCTGACCTTTCCCCAGTCATTTCTTCCTGCCCTTGGGTAGAGGGCAGGGCATGGACAAGTGACTTCAGAGAGGCAGGTCCACCAGCAGCAGCAGGCAGGACCTTGCCTTCTCCAAGGCTTCAAGGTCTCTGACTTTGAATGACAGGAGGAACCCCCATCAACTAGGGCTTGGCTATGATGGCAGCGGGTTCCTGACAGTCCTGTTCAGTCTCAGAGATAGCATCTTCTGTAAGATTTGGGAGTTTGGAGATGAGACAAGAGAGCAGCAAGGAGAGGCAGGGCAAAGTTCAAAGGAGGCCCAGCACTCACCATCCCAGCCCCAAACCCGTCACAATCAGCAAGCAGTAAGCTCACCATTACCCTGCATGTTGTGAGCAGGGTATGCTTCTGTTGTACAGTCTTTCCAGTGCATCATTTAGCTCTCTGAGAAGAGGGAGAGCCTGGGGCCAAGAGGGAATTCTGAAGCATTTCCTGTGGCCCCAGTGACCCCCCTGACTCTTCTCCAGCCAGAGGCCTCCCCTGCCAAGTATGTACCCTCCCACTCTCTTTTGACCCTAAACCCCTTCCCATTTTCACTCCCCAACCCCCAGAGCCTTCTTGTCTAGGCTCGCCTGTATCAGAAGCTTGGCAGCCTGTGGAGGGATAGGCAGAGGCACAAAGGAATGGGTGTTCTTCTCCCCATCCTCCCCCTCCCCTGGGCTCCAGGAGCTGAGGGTTTCCTTGTCTCATCTCTGGAGCAAGGCACCAAGCCCAGCCCTTCCTGGCCCCACTCCGGACATTCTTGGGAGTGCGTTTCCCTGGAAACTGGGTGGCTCGAGGGTGCATGTGCTATCTCTGTGTGTCTGTGTAACTGAAGTGTGTTTATGTATCTCCGGATGTATTTGTGACTGAGCTTTTGAATCTCCGTGTTTGTGTCTTTCCTTGTGTGGATCAGCATGTTCAAGTGGGCGGCAAGGGTGAACTCAGGACTGATGGTACCAAAATGTCTGTGTGTATACTCCTGTGTGTATATGAGACCTCACTGGTCATATGTCTACCTGTGGGCATATATACAAGACATTTTCCCTGCCTTGTTCCCCTAGTCTGGCCTTGTAGAGGGGACCCTCTTCTTTGAAAAACCCTGGGAATAACAGGGAGCCTGCTTTGGCCTCAGATGCATCATTCTGGGCACTGTGCCCAGCCATAGGCAACTTGGATAGACACACTTCATGACAAGCAGAGATGGCAGTGACAGGCTCTTCCAGCAGGAATACGCCTGGGCCAGGGGAAGGGAGAGGCGGGCAGAAAACAGATGCCAACCTTTAGCACACAGCTATGAACATAGGAGCATGAAGTGAGGGGGCCGGGAAGGTCCTGATTCCATCCCTGTACCCAGGCATCTTGGCACCTCCCACGCTGCCCTCTTCTCTACAGAGCAAGGGGTGGAGCTGGGAATAGGACCAAGGGAATGAGGAGGAATCTCAATCCGGGTCTAGGCTGCCCCACCCTGGAACCACAGCGACAGACCACATGAAAGATCTGGGAGGGAACCAAGCAGGGGAGGACCCAGAAAGCCACCAGCTCAGGGCCCAGGCTGTCTAGACAGTAGGTCCCCATCCACTCCTAGCATTTCATCCAAGCCCTGGTCTCCAGTCTCCTTCATTCCCTAAGCTGTAGGGGCTTGTGGGAGGGCCAGCAGAGGAGTGTGGTGGGGAGCCCGGATTCCTGCGTTATCAAGCTGCCTCTCTGGGATCCAGGACATTGAGCCACTTTTTTCCCCACCCAGTTATTCCGTCTGTAAATTGGGAGTGGAAACTTCAAACCTTTTCTGTTATGAGACTGATAACGATCTTGACTAATAAAGCTCAAAGGAAGGAGGGCAGAGCGAAGGCTCCCAGCTTCTCACTTATTTGTGTCTGCCTCCTGCCCTATTTCTCATTGGCGGGCATCCTCTGTGTCTGCTTAGGTCTATCCAGCTGGCCATCACAGTTTCCAGACTGATGAATCACTCTTCCTGAAGAGATTTTTTTTTAAAGCTTCCCCTCATTTTGCATTTGACCCTATATGGTTCTTCCTTTTTCCTCAGAAGGGAATAAGAGGCCGGGCGCCTGAGGGCAGGAGTTTGAGACCAGCCTGACCAACAAGGTGAAATCCCATCTCTACTAAAAATACAAAAATTGGCCTGGCACGGTGGCTCACACCTGTAATCCCAGCACTTTGGGAGGCTGAGGCGGGCAGATCACGAGGTCAAGAGATCAAGACCATCCTGGCCAACATGGTGAAACCCTGTTTCTACTAAAAAATACAAAAATTAGCTGGGCGTGGTGGCATGTGCCTGTAGTCCCAGCTACTCGGGAGGCTGAGGCAGGAGAATTGCTTGTACCCAGGAGGAGCAGATTGCAGTGAGCCCAGATTGCACCACTGAACTCCAGCCTGGTGCCTGGCGACAGAGCAAGACTCTGTCTCAAAAAACCACACAAAAAACAAAAATTAGCTGGGTGTGGTGGCAGATGCCTGTAGTCCCAGCTACTCGGGAGGCTATACAGGAGAATTGCTTGGATCCAGGAGGTGGAAGTTACAGTGAGCCAAGATCACGCCACTGCACTCCAGACTGGGTGATGGTCCGAGACTCCATCTCAGAAAAAAAAATAAAAAGAAAGGAAAAGGGAGTAAGATGCATGTGCACAGGTGAGCATGTGCATGAGCATACATATAGTTGGCAGCGTGGGTGAATGGGCTAGTGGTCTGTTCAGCAAGAATGGAAAACTTGCCTGATTATTCATCTAAGAGGTTGATTTTATTTCAGAGTTTCTCCAGGGACTGAGTGAAAGGAAAGCTATGCCTGAGTGAGTGTGTAACTAAAAGGAGTTGTCTGGGGGGATGTGTGCATGAGAATAAAGGTTTGTTAGAGGCAGAGAGTGTGTTTAATGAGGATATCTGTGTGACTCAAAGCATGCAGAGCTGAGGTAGTGTCAGTGTGACTGAGCAAGTGTTGGTGTGTATCTGAGGGACACTGTGACAGGCTTCATGAGCTGCTGAGTGCATACAGTGTGTCCTGTAAGGCTCTGGTGTGCAGAGGCCAGGTCCCTGGAACAAGAGGAACTCTCTGGGGGGCCTGGCTGGATGGTAGGTATTAATACTTGCCTGGGTTGGACGTGGTGGCTCATGCCTGTAATCCCAGCACTTTGGGAGACCGAGGTGGGCGGATCACCTGAGGTCAGGAGTTCAAGACCAGCCTGAACAACATGGAGAAACCTCTTCTCTACTAAAAATACAGAATTAGCTGGGCATGGTGGCACATGCCTGTAATCCCAGCTACTCGGGAGGCTGCAGCAAGAGAATTGCTTGCACCCGGGAGGTGGAGGTTGCAGTGAGCCAAGATCATGCCATTGCACTCCAGCCTGGGCAACAAGAGTGAAACTTTGTCTCAAAAAAAACCCAAAAAACAAAAAACTTAGGTCGGACTCAGAATCTCAGCCTGACCCTGGGGGCTCCAGATACCTGTAGGATGGGTACCTTATTGGGGTCCGAGGGCACTTTACTGGGTCTAGCACAACTGGAGGTTGTGGCTGGGGCATGGGCTGGTTTCCAGGGGCTCAGGAAGTGGGGTGGCTGGAAGGGGCAGGGCCTTGGTCCACTCTGGGTCATGGGTTGAGCTATGGGGAGTGGGGACAGAAGAGGAGGTGTTTAGGGTGGAGACAGGAGCTGGGCTGAGTGCTTGCCTTGTATAGAGAACTGCCTTGGCCTGAACTTCCAGCCCAGGGTGACCTTGTTACAGTGGCAGCTTGAGGGCCAGAGCAGGACATAGTGACCTAGCAGGATCCTGTAGAGCCCCTGCTCTTTTCCTCTCCCTCTCTCCCTCAGATATGGATCCGTGGAATGTCAGAGCTGACATTCTGTAGATTAGGAAGTCAGATTAGGCTACAGGGTGTGACTGGCCCAAGGTGATACAGCGGGCCAGCTTGGCTGCCACTGACCTCTTACTGCAGGGGGCTGGGAATGGGACCCTGTCCTTTGCTTGGCCTCACTCCTCCTGCCTCCTGGCTTTTCACTCTCTGGCCTCTATATTTACCTCTCACCTTTCCTTCACTCAGTCACCTCCCTTGAACCTTTCCTTCTCGCCCCACTTTTCTTCCTGCCCCCTTTGCAGGATCCCACGCTGGCTCCCTTTCTGCATCCTCCCGCCCCGCCCTCTCCATCCAGCTCCCCACTCGTCTCCTCCATCACTTCCTCTTCCCCTCCTCCTCTCCTTTGTCCCTCCCTCCCTGGCTCCCTTCCCCCGCCGCTGGTGGCCGGCCCGCCCCTCCCTGGGCATTGGCGGCTGCTCGCTGCCTCGCTGCTCGCTCCGAGCCTGGAGCCTGCGGCTCGGGAGGTCGGCCCGCCCCCTCAAAGGCCCCGGGCGGGCCGGGCACCTGGAGGGCCTGAGCTATCGGGGGCGAGCGGTCCGGAGGTCCGGGTTCGGCGGTGAGTCCTCAGCCCCGGGCCAGCCACAGCCCCCAAGCAGCCAAGCTTGGAGAAGCTCCGGCTGGGAGGGGCGTCTTGAGGAGGGTGGGCGGGAGGAGGGGCATGGGGTCCCCTGACCCTCTTTGGGAGCTTGAGGCGGTGAGACTCGATTGTATGTATTCCCCGAACATTTCTAAATGGGGATTCTGGGCTTGGGGGCACTTCTCAGCCAGGTAAATCTTACCTTCCCCGGCACTCCGACAGTCCCCTCCTTGGGACCCCTCTTCCTCAGATGGGGTTGAAGGGTCCTGGTTAGAATGAGGGAGTCTAGCCAAGGAGGGTCTCTGATAGGAAGGACCAAGGCCTTCCTCCCATATTCCTTTCACTCAGCCTCCCTTTGGCCAATCCATTCTATTTGTGTGACCAGAAGGGTAGTGACAGTAGCTCTGAGAGTGTGAGCATGTATGCCCATGAGTCTGTTGTGCTACTATGAGTGTGTATGAGTGTGAACCTGTTTGTGTTTCTGTTTCTCCTCTGCATCTTGGAGAGACAGGATTCACCTTCTCCTTCGCCTAATTTTTCCCTCCAGACGTGCAGCTCCTCCACCCACCTGCACACAGCTGGGCCCTGATCCCCTCTGGGCATGGAGTACACTGCCCATGACTTTGGCAGGATGGGCAGGGGTTCCTGGGCTCCCTGAAAGGCTGGCCTTTGGGGGCATGGGGTGGGAGTGGGCAGAGAGGAGACTTCATCCCAGAAACAGGCTGGCCAGACCCCTAGGGGCTGTAGGGGCCAGCATTGGGGCAATGGCTGAGGCCCCTGCATGCAAATAGAAAGTTAATTTGGGCAGGAGCTGGGCTGCTCTCAGTCCTGCCCTCCTGCCCGCTCTATTAATACGGATCCAGCTCTGCTGCCTGGCATCACTATTTATAGCCCAAAGGCAACAAGGCCACACCCCCTTATGTGGGGGAAGGTGAAGGGCTGAGGAGGGGGCAGAAAACACACCACTATAGGGGCCCAAGTGGAGGGTCCCTAGATGCCTACATCCTTCTTGGGTGGGCCTGGCACCACTGGCCTGGAATCCACCCAGGCTACCCACCTCCTTCCCAGCCTGGACTGTGTGGTCAGGCTCCTGATCCCTACCACCCACGACCCTGGGTTGAGTGGGTCTGTCTAGACCCTATGAACTCATCACTAATAAGCTTGTTAAATGACTAAAAGGAGGAGGAGGGCCTTCACAGGGCTCTTTCTGAAATAGCTGTGGTTGTAATTAGGTGGACAATGTGGTTGGCTATTATTTATTCCAGTTATGAATACTCTGGGATCCTCTTCTCTGGTGATTTGACAGGGAAGGCTTCCCCTCTCTCCTTTAGAATTATTGGTGTCTGGCTGCCTGGGAGGGCCTTTGTGTATGCCAGGATAGTGAGTGGCTTTATCCACTGTGATTATCTGCATGGGCTTCTCAGCCTACTAAACCCCCAACCTAAGCAATGCCCAGGATCCCAGAAACAGGCTCCTGAGCTTCTCAGTAAGGGACCTGCTAGTACCCACGTGGCCTGGGATGCCCCTTGCCTTTGCGGCCTGCCTGAGCTAAACTGTCTCAGCGTCCAGGAATGTAGACTTCTCTGCCAGTCTTAGCTCAAACTGGCGTGAAGCTTGGGATGCCAAGTGGCACCAGATTGGGTAGACAGGAGGCTGAGGCTAGGGGCCAGGGGTGTGGACAAATTGGAAGGGTTGGTGGTAAAAGAGCAACAGGGCTCCGGCTTCTCCAAACATAGCATCTTCTGCAGGAGCCCTTGAGCACCTGGTGTGGCTAGGAGGTGGAGTTCTGCCAGCTACGCTTAGGCGCCTGTGGGCACACCTGCCACTGTGCACACTCCTGATACCCCTGGCTACATTTTCCAGCTCCCACATGCCCTCCCCCTCCATGTACTCACACTTCCTGGGCAGGACTGGGCTTGCGTCTACTGCCTGGGAATATGCTGGGCTGAGGCTGGGCCCAGTGGCCTAGTCTTGGCTTGATGCCAGGGGAGACTAAGGTGCATGCAGAGAGTGGTTAGTCAGAAAGAAAGGTGGTTGCTCCCTAGACTCACAGAGCACAGCTCTCCTAAGGCCGCAAAACAATAAAGAGTGGGAGCAAATTCAGGACCCACTCTAGATCATCTGACTGATCCATGGTTTTTTCCCTATCTCAGAGCTTTTTGTATGTGTGTGACCCTGGAAGTTGTTACCTCTCAGACTGACTCTTCTAGCCAAGGGGCAGATAGATGGATCATGGATACAGATTGGGGTTGGGGGACAGGGGTGTCTGTGTTCTCTGAACATATATATATATATATATATATACATATATATATACATATATATATATTTTTTTTTTTTTGGAGATGGAGTCTTGCTCTGTTGCCCAGGCTGGAGTGCAGTGGTGAGATCTCGGCTCACTGTATCCTCTGCCTCCCACATTCAAGTGATTCTCCTGCCTCAGCCAACCAAGTAGCTGGAATTACAGGCCCGCACCACCACACCCTGCTGAATTTTGTATTTTTAGTAGAGACGGGGGTTTCACCATATTGGCCAGGCTGGTCTCAAACTCCTGACATCAGGTGCCGCCCATCTCAGCCTCCCAAAGTGCTGGAATTACAGGCATGAGCCACCACGCCCAGCCTCTCTGAACAAATTTTAACAGTGCTTTCACATACACTGTCTATTAACCCTGCAAGATCAGTGGTATTGTCCCCATTTTTCTTTTTCTTTTTTTTTTTTGAGACGGAGTTTCACTCTTGTTACTCAGGCTGGAGTGCAATGGCGCGATCTCGGCTCACCACAACCTCTGCCTCCTGGGTTCAAGCAATTCTCCTGCTTCAGCCTCCCGAGTAGCTGGGATTACAGGCACACGCCACCATGCCCAGCTTATTTTTTGTATTTTTTTAGTAGAGACGGGGTTTCACCATGTTGACCAGGATGGTCTCGATCTCTTGACCTCGTGATCCACCCGCCTCGGCCTCCCAAAGTGCTGGGATTACAGGCTTGAGCCACCGCGCCTGGCGTCCCCATTTTTCTTATTAGAGAACTAGACTCAGAGGTGAAGTGACTTCTCCCAGAGATCTCACAGCTAGTAAGAAGAGGAGTTAGAGGCCGGGCGCGGTGGCTCAAGCCTGTAATCCCAGCACTTTGGGAGGCCGAGGCGGGTGGATCACGAGGTCCAGAGATCGAGACCATCCTGGTCAACATGGTGAAACGCCGTCTCTACTAAAAATACAAAAAACTAGCTGAGCGTGGTGGCGCGTGCCTGTAATCCCAGCTACTCAGGAGGCTGAGGCAGGAGAGTTGCGTGAGCCCAGGAGGCGGAGGTTGCGGTGAGCTGAGATCACGCCATTGCACTCCAGCCTGGGCAACAAGAGCGAAACTCCGTCTCAAAAAAAAAAAAAAAAAAGAAGAGGAGTTAGGACAAGGACTCAGATCCTGGGACTTTTTCCACTCTCGTCTTGTGCTGTGGAGCCCTGGAGGTGCCTGTCTCAAGCACAGGCAGGGTCAGGTGTGGACTGTTCGGCCTCTGAGAGCAGGTGGGGATGAATCTTCAGAGCCAAGGTGAACCTGCTAGTGCTGTGAGGTGGGATAGCTTCAGCCCTGCCTGCCCTTCCAAGTGTTTGCTTTCTCTGCAGGCTGCATGTTGTGCCTGGGTCAGTCCACCTTCCTCCGCTTTAACCACCCGGCTGAAGCCAAGTGGATGAAGAGCATGATTCCAGCAGGGGGCCGAGCCCCAGGGCCCCCCTACAGCCCTGTTCCTGGTAAGTACCTAGGGGGACAGGGGGTTGGGTTGGTAGTGTTTCTTTAGCAGTCTCCTCCTTGCTCACTCTAGCCACACTTGGAGTATTGGGGCAAGACAATACCTAAGGTCTGGGCTCACTGCCACCTGCCATGGGCTGGTGGAGAATGCCAGGCAGTGGGGCCACTGGGAGCTAACCAAGGCAGTCAGTGCTGCCGTGAAAATTGGGAAATCATGTGCCTTGAGGGATGGCTGGGCTCTGCCAGCTTGTACCCCACTGTTCTGGAGGATGCCACTCAGTGTCTGGAACTCTGGCCCACTTGTGTCGCCACAGGGAGCCTCACCCTCTAGGGTATCCTGAGGGGCAGAAGGAAGCATTAGGTCAAACTCCCTGTAAGCTCTAGTAGGGATCATGTCCTTGGGCCTCACCCAACTCTTGGTCCTTGCCATGCCCACTGATGACTCAGTGGAACAGCTGTATTTTGTGTGTGAATTATTGATCCCCAGAAGAGAGTTGGTGATTGTTCTGGGGAACCAACACAGGCCCCCTCAGCCCAGCTGCATAGTGGGTGGAGTGCAGACCAGGAGGCTATTATTGGGTCTATCATCTCAGACTTTGCGCTGGCATTTAGATGGCTATGGGATGGCAGGTGCTGGGGCAGACAGACACAGATGTCAGGTGCACCTAGTGCGGTGGTGTCAGCAGCCTAACTGTATAGCCTGGGGACCTGAAGAAAGGTGAGTGGTCACTGGGGTCACCAGTATCCATGGCAACCCCCGACTGTATCTCACATAGTCCCCCTAATTTTGGACCCAAACTCAGTCTTGCAAATGTTTTCCCTTCCCTTCTCCCACCCTCGATCTTTTCTGGTCCCCTGGGGGCTCAGAAGCCTGGGTTCCCAGTCTACTCCTTAGTTAATTTTACCTTGCCCCCACCCCAGCCTTGTCATGCTGCTCCCTTAGCTGTTTCGGGGTAGTGGTTCCAGGGACTCCTGTATGGTTGACTAGGGCTAGGGCATGGCAAAAGCAGGCTCTTGCTGGCGTGGCTTAATGGGATAATTGGAGGCATTGAGCTCCACCTCCTTGCTGGCAGCCTGGCTTCCAGGAAGCAGCCATTAGAACCAGCTCCCTCCCCTACCTCTGATTGGACAAAGTGGTGCAGCATACACCCCTTGCCCAGCCCTGGAGGCTTTTTTTTTTTTTTTTTTTAACCACTGGGCCTCTGGTTCCTATGTTGGAAGGCCTTGATGTCCTATTAGACTAGGAGGCCCTGGAACTTCTGGCCAGCTCTGCAACAGGCACCCACCATCTTCTTTGTGTAATATCCACCTGCCTGCCCCCCTTTTTTTTTTTTTTGAGATGGAGTCTCACTCTGTCACCTAGGCTGGAGTGCAGTGGCCAGATTTTGGCTCACTGCAACCTCTGCCTCCTGGGTTCACGTGATTCTCCTGCCTCAGCCTCCTGAGTAGCTGGGAATACAGCCTGCCACCACACCCAGCTAATTTTTTATTTTTGGGGGAAACAGTGTTTCACCATGTTGTCCAGGCTGGTCTTGAACTCCTGACCTCAGGTGTTCCGCCTGCTTTGGCCTCCCAAAGTGCTGGGATTACAGGCGTGAGCCACCGCGCCCAGCCTTTTGTTTTTTTTTTTGAGACAGTCTTGCTGTGCCACCCAGGCAGGAGTGCAGTGATGTGATCTCAGCTCACTGCAACTTCCCGGGTTCAAGCAATTCTTGTGCCTGAGCCTCCTGAGTAGCTGGGATTATAGACATGTGCCACTGACGGCTATGCAACCTTAGCCACATACCCAGCTAATTTATCTTTTTTTTTTTTTTTTTTTTTTTTTTTTTTTTTTTTGAGACGGAGTTTCGCTCTTGTTACCCAGGCTGGAGTGCAATGGCGTGATCTCGGCTCACCGCAACCTCTGCCTCCTGGGTTCAGGCAATTCTCCTGCCTCAGCCTCCTGAGTAGCTGGGATTACAGGCACGCGCCACCATGCCCAGCTAATTTTTTGTATTTTTAGTAGAGACCGGGTTTCACCATGTTGACCAGGATGGTCTCGATCTCTCGACCTCTTGATCCACCTGCCTCGGGCTCCCAAAGTGCTCGGATTGCAGATGTGAGCCACTGTGCTTGGTCCACCTGCTCTTCTTGAGGAGGGATATAGGATGTTGGGGAAACCAAGGCAGGGAGGAGTCTAGTCTTGGGGTGAATCGACAACAATAGGCTTAGAAGTTTCTGGCATTGTTGTTAACTGGCCACAGGCAGGAAGGCCCTGCCAATTCCCTTTATTTACAGAAGGAAAAACTGAGGACAAGTTATGTGGCTAAGGTTGCGTAGCGGTCAGTGGCAGAGCTAGTTGGTGCCAGAACCCAGATCTCCTGGCTTCTTCTCCAGAGCCTTTTTAGCCTCACTGTGCTAGGAGGAGGTGGGCTAGTGCCCTGGCTCTTATGCATATGCAGCTCCCCAAAGTCAAAGACCTTTGTACTTCCCTCCAGCAGAGTCAGAAAGTCTGGTGAATGGGAACCATACCCCACAGCCTGCAACACGGGGACCCTCAGCCTGTGCCAGCCACAGTTCCCTGGTGAGCTCTATTGAGAAGGACCTGCAAGAGATCATGGACTCACTGGTGCTAGAGGAGCCTGGAGCTGCTGGCAAGAAACCTGCCGCAACCTCTCCACTGTCGCCGATGGCTAATGGTGGGCGCTACCTGCTGTCCCCCCCAACCAGTCCCGGTGCCATGTCTGTGGGCTCCAGCTATGAGAACACCTCTCCAGCCTTCTCTCCACTCTCCTCACCAGCCAGCAGTGGAAGCTGTGCCAGTCACTCACCTAGTGGGCAAGAGCCAGGACCTTCAGTGCCCCCACTGGTGCCTGCCCGTTCCTCTAGTTACCATCTGGCCCTGCAGCCCCCACAGTCCCGCCCAAGTGGTGCTCGCTCTGAGAGTCCTCGGCTGAGCAGGAAAGCAGGCCATGAGAGGCCTCCCAGCCCTGGCCTCCGGGGTCTGCTGACAGACAGCCCTGCCGCTACTGTCTTGGCAGAGGCCCGGAGAGCCACTGAGAGCCCCCGGCTGGGTGGGCAGCTGCCTGTGGTGGCCATCAGCCTGAGTGAATACCCAGCTTCTGGTGCTCGCAGTCAACCCACCAGCATTCCTGGCAGCCTCAAGTTCCAGCCTCCAGTCCCTGCTCCCCGAAACAAGATTGGCACACTCCAGGACCGCCCTCCCAGCCCTTTCCGTGAGCCTCCAGGCAGTGAGCGGGTGCTAACAACCAGCCCCTCACGCCAACTGGTGGGCCGAACATTTTCAGATGGGTTAGCCACCCGTACCCTGCAGCCTCCTGAGAGCCCCCGCCTGAGCCGGCGGGGCCTGGACAGTATGCGAGAACTACCCCCCTTAAGCCCATCTCTGTCCCGACGAGCTCTCTCCCCACTGCCCACCCGGACCACCCCAGATCCCAAGCTAAGCAGGGAAGTAGCAGAGAGTCCTCGGCCCCGGCGCTGGGGAGCCCATGGGGCCTCACCAGAGGACTTCTCCCTGACGCTGGGGCCACGGGGCCGTAGGACACGGAGCCCCTCACCCACACTGGGTGAGTCTCTGGCACCCCGAAAGGGCAGCTTCAGTGGCAGGCTGAGCCCAGCCTACAGTCTGGGCTCTCTTACTGGGGCATCACCCTGCCAGAGTCCGTGTGTCCAAAGGAAGCTCTCCAGTGGGGACTTGCGGGTGCCTGTCACAAGGGAGCGGAAAAATAGCATCACAGAGATCAGTGACAATGAGGACGACCTCCTGGAGTACCACCGGCGACAGCGCCAAGAACGGCTCCGGGAGCAGGAGATGGAGAGGCTGGTGAGCAGGTGCCAGGGAAGCTGCCACTGTCTGTGACAGGTTCTCTGCCAGGGCTTGAGCAGGCCAGCTAGCAGATTGGGAGGGGCCCTCAAACAGGGCTTGGGTTTCTCAAGGTTCCCCACCTTCGGGATGCACTTTAGTGATCAGTATCTTTTGGTTCTGGTGCCCTGAAGAAGAAGTTTCTTTGAAATTCCTAAGACTTTATTTTAAATTCTTGCTAATTTTGTGTTTATTCAACATAGCATTTTTTTGTTGTTGTTGAGATGGAGTTTCGCTCTTGTTACCCAGGCTGGAGTGCAATGGCACGATCTCGGCTTACCGCAACCTCCGCCTCCTGGGTGCAGGCAATTTTCCTGCCTCAGCCTCCTGAGTAGCTGGGATTACAGGCACGCGCCACCATGCCCAGCTAATTTTTTGTATTTTTAGTAGAGACGGGGTTTCACCATGTTGACCAGGATGGTCTCGATCTCTTGACCTCGTGGTCCACTTGCCTCGGCCTCCCAAAGTGCTGGGATTACAGGCGTGAGCACCGTGCCTGGCCCCATAGCATTTGTTTTAATGTATAAATTAAATCTTACATTGTTTGCTCAAGTACGGTGAAGCTCTAGGAAAACATACCTGTGGAGTTTTCCTAGGTATGTTTTGGCATCCCTAGGAAATTGTATGGCAGGCACAGCCTCCCCGAACTCCTCCATATGGTAAGTCCTCACACCTCCCAGTTTGAGAAGCAGGTGATGGTGATGAGTAGGCTGAAGCTCAGAAAGCGGAATGGATTTATCCAAGGTCACACAGCAAGTTCTGGCAGAGCTGGAATTGGAACCCAGGTCTTCTTCTGTCTATCTGACTCTTTCTGAGACTTGTTCTTTTTTTTTTTTTTTTTTTTTTTTTTTCTTTTGAGACAGGGTCTCAGTCTGTCTGCCAGGCTGGAGGGCAGTGGTGCAATCTTGGCTCACTGCAACCTCCACCTCCTGGGTTCAAGTGATTATCCTGTCTCAGCCTCTCTAGTAGCTGAGACTACAGGCATGTGCCACCACGCCTGGCTAATGTTCTATTTTTAGTAGAGACGGGGTTTCACCGTGTTAGCCAGGATGGTCTCAATCTCCTGACCTCATGATCCACTGCCTTGGCCTCCCAAAGTGCTGGGATTACAGGTGTGAGCCACTGTGCCCGGCTGAGACTTGTTCTTTAGAAAAGCCCCTTGTCCTTCTTTGTTGCTGCTCTTTGGCCTCTCTCTGGGCACTCTGCAAGTGTCCAGAAGTGGGCAGGTGATTGGGAGCTTTTCGCCCTGGCCCAGGCAGTATCATCTGGGAGTGTGGGTGTCAGGGAAGAGGGACGGAGCAGGATAGACAACCATAGCCTGACCGTTAGCCAGCCTGTGTCATTGTGACTATGTGTCTGTATGCATGCATGTGGGTGCGTGCAGGGGCCGGGTGTGGCTCTGGGCAGCTGTCCTGGAGATGGCATCTGAACTGGGTGGGGGCCAGGATTCCCCAGATAGCTCAGGGAGCTTACGGGGTTCTGGCTGGTGTGTACACGCTCGAGCCCATGTACAGCAGAATGGATTTGGCTCTCTATCCCTTGCAAGCAGAACAGGGTTCCTTGGGAGGTGGGCAGGAACCCAGGGATTGGTTTGAGGAGGAGAACCAGAACTGATGAGAATCATAACTGAAGTGTCTGGAGATGCTTTTGGAAGAGGTTGGGGCAGTTTTGGATGAGGGTATAGGATTGTGTGTTTGTGTTGGATGGGGGTGAGATGAGGTGGGATCCTGTTTTTGCTACATTTTCTGTTCACTGTTTTTGCATTGGTCTAGATGAGAATGCATGGCCATTCTAAGCTGGGGTCTCATCCTGGAGAGGGGGCAGTGAGCCTGGCACAAGCAGAGGAGCAGGCACAGCCTCCCCCAACTCCTCCATCTGTCTCCGCACCCCCATTCCCACACATAAGCACATACCTTACCACCAGTCCTGACCTGCCCCACCTGCCACTTTAAGTCTTGAAGGCTGCCTGCCCTGCCCCTCCCACCTCAACCAGTCTGCTTATCTGGGTACTGGAGCAGGGGTGGAGGCACTGGCCGAGCCTCCTGGGTGCTGAGGCTCTGTTCCTGGTTTTTTTTTTGCCATGGAACTGGGCAAGCAACAGGAGGAAAGCTGGGTAAGTGTATGAGAACACCTCTCCAGCCTTCTCTCCACTTCCTGTGGTTTGGGTTCATGGCCAAAATCATAAGTGGTGAGAGACTCTTGAGGAGATCGAGAGACCCTAAAGAGCCATGGGAGCCTCACAAGCCAGTCTTCAGGCATATAGGTAGGCCTGCAGAAGAGGGCAATGAAGATCAGGAATGTGATTGTAGCATTCCTTCTTTACCTCCTAGGCCCCTGAGAGGTGACTGTATCTGGGTGGGTGTGTATGTGGAGGGGGGTGGATTAAGTGGTAGGGCCCCAGGAGTACTCATTCATGGGCTTGGGCATTTAAGGACTGGCAGTAACCCATTCTGCTGATAAACAGCCAAGGGCTGCCTGAGTGTAACTTGGAGCTGAGGTGGGGACAAAGAGGGCTGTGTCCTCGGTCCGCCTCTTCTCCATGTGGGTCTGTGGCTGGGTATCAGGTCCCTGTGGGCTCGTGAGTCTGTTTTCCAGCCCTGTCTGTCTGCAGAGGTGCCCACCTGTCTGTGTGCTACACTGTGTTTTTCTGTGAGTGTGCATCAGTGTGCATTTGTGCATGTCAGGGCTGGTGTCTTTGTACCTGCCTGTTAATGCAGGGCCAGTGCACATGTTGTATCTTTGTGTGCCTGTGCATCAGCACTGGTGTGTCAGGGTGTCCTTCTGTCTGTAAATCTGTGTGTACCTGTGTCAGCACGAGCACCTGAGTTTATCTGTGTCTCATTGTGGTCTGTAGTCTGCTTAAAAGTGTGTTTCCATATGTGTTTGGTGTGTTCCTGTGCGTCCATGAGGAAGCCCTGTCCTGGGGTAGATTGAAAAAAGAAAGGAACAGGAAGACGGAAGGGGCTGGCCCAGAAGTGGGCAGGAAGAACCAGGCTGTTGTGCCACGTGAGCAGGTGGCACAACAGCCTGGTTCTTCCTGCCCACTTCTGGAGCACCCTGTTTCCCTCTGCCTCCCCCAGATCTTGGGGTCAGGTCTCTCCTGACTTGACACTGGTGCCCTAGCCCCCAGTAACCCTGCTCTCCTGACAGGAGGCTCTACCAGGGCTCAGCCTCCTCCCCTTCATGTCCTGCTCTGTCCATCCTCCCCAGGAACGCCAGCGCCTGGAGACCATCCTGAACCTGTGTGCCGAATACACCCGGGTTGATGGGGGACCTGAGGCTGAGGAGCTTCCCAGCATTGGGGAGGCCACTGCAGCATTGGCACTGGCAGGCCGAAGGCCCTCACGAGGTCTTGCAGGAGCCTCTGGGCGGAGCAGCGAGGAGCCTGGAGTTGCCACCCAACGCCTATGGGAGAGTATGGAGCGCTCAGATGAGGAAAATCTCAAGGAGGAGTGCAGCAGCACTGAGAGCACCCAGCAGGAGGTGAGGTGGAGGGGTGGGCAGGACAAAGAAGCTGAAGTTGGGCCTGCTTGGGGCAGAGGAGGCTGGGGTAGTGAATGCCAAGGTCCAGAGAGGGGAAGGATCAAATTTGGGAAGAGACAGAGAGCAGAGGTGCAGAAATGAGACAAGGAAGAGAAGGGAGGTGTTGATGAGTTTTCCAAGCTATAAATATGCTTTATGACCTGCCTTTCCTTGGGGCCCCACCCAGGCCTGGCACTCAGTGGTAAATCTTTATTCTCTTCAGCAGAGCCATTATTGCTCTCCTTAAAGGGAGAGGTAGCCTCCTGTCTCAGTCCAGTTATTCCTCAGCAAGTGACTGGAGGAATAGGCAACCCATTCTCTTAGTCTGATCCTAAAAGGCTCTAGGCTTCTAGGCTTCCTCAGTTGATGGCTTCCCTCCCCTCCAGCATGAAGATGCACCTAGTACCAAGCTCCAGGGAGAGGTGCTAGCCCTGGAAGAGGAGCGGGCTCAGGTGCTGGGACGCGTGGAGCAGCTTAAGGTCCGTGTGAAGGAGCTAGAGCAGCAGCTGCAGGAGTCAGCCCGAGAGGTGAGCATGAAGGCCCTAGCTGGACTCTTCCCTAGGCCAACTGAAGGCCCCAGAGAGGGGCCACAGTCAGCTGCTTTGACGGGGACCCTGGTGTCTTCCCCCAGGCCGAAATGGAGCGGGCACTGCTGCAGGGAGAGAGGGAGGCAGAGCGTTCACTCCTGCAGAAGGAGCAGAAGGCAGTGGACCAGCTGCAAGAGAAGCTGGTGGCCTTGGAGACAGGCATCCAGAAGGAGAGGGACAAGGTAACCAACACCTGGCCCTGCTTAGTGCTGGGTACCAGTGGCCTGGGAGAAAAGGAGAAATGTCTTCTCTGGGGCCCTGTACCTCTCACCTCATCAACCATTCTGCAGTACAAGTGGTCTCTCCAGGGACAGTGTGACTTGTCGTCCTCTGTGGAAGGTCCCAGCTTGGAGGGTACTGCCAGGGGCTGGTCTGGTGTCTGGGGTCTCCTCTGTCTGGGTCTGTGTGCTACCTCTGGGTGCCTGGGTGCCTGCCATCCCTGGCCCTTTGTGGCCCTTCTAGGAAGTGCCAAAGCCCCTTCTTGCGCAGTGAGCACAACCCAAGGGATTGACATTGGGGAGTGATTCAGGTTTGGGTCCCACCGTCTGGAGAACATTTCCCTCCAAGCATGCCACAAGTGCTTACGTTGTGATCTTTGGGAGATGGCCCTTGGGCCTCTGCTTCCCCGAGCCTTCAGAATCTGCAGCCTCCCTTTGCAGGTGATCCTTGCTCCTGCCCCTGCCCCTTTCAGATTTCGTGCCAGCCTGCAGGGGCCACTCCCAGATGCCCAACACCATGCCAAAAGCTCTGAAGTGGAGAGGGGTCATCTATTTCTGGATTTGACAGTATTTTTCCAAGAATTTAATTTTCCTTCTGGATTTTTTGAGTTTCTTCCTCCTACCCTCAATTTTGAGGATCTTAAAAATTCTTTGACTCTTTTTTTTTTGGAGCTTTGGCTCTGGCCCTCAAAACCACACTCCCAAATTCTGTGCCAAATTAACTCCATGCTTGCCAACTAGGCCTACACTAACGTTCCCTCTAATCACTGTCCTGGGCTCTGCATGCCCCTAACTGCCAGTGCCACCCAGGCAGGGCTGAGCCATGCCTACTTTTGCACTAACTCAATGGGTACCTCCGTGCCCTGGGCCTCTCCCCTCTAATGCTACCTCCTTCTTTTCTTGGTGTGGGACCCCAGAGTTTTGATCAGAAAGAATTTGGCAAGAATTAGCTCAACTTTACTCAAGGGGGCATTGGCAGAGGAGTATAAGGGTGGGGGAAATGCTTGGCTGTGGAGCTGCTCAGCCTGAAGAGTTCTTTCCATTGGAAATGCCTGGGCTGCTGTCTTAGGCTGCTGTCTAAGGACAGCACGAGATAACCCAAGGAAGCTTCCTGGCAGCTTCCCACACAGCAGAGCAGGCTGTTTGCCACCTATTCCCCTACCTGCCCTCTGGAGCCAAGGAGTAAAGAGGCCCAGTTGTGGACAAGGCCTTGGAGAGCTTGAACAGGACCTCTCTGCCAACATAGTGGCCACTCTTCCTAGCTTTCCACTGGGGCTTCCCAAATTCAGATACCCATCAGAGGTTGGTAATGGGTAGCCCCTACTCTTTCCTCTACCCCTGAGCCACCTATAGCACAGGATATTTTAAAGGCTGAGTCCAAGGATGGGGAAGTGCCTAGACTCCAGGAACTGGCCTGATCAGTCCTCCTCTCTGGGGATGGGTAGATGAGTGGGGTAGAGGGGTGGGAGTGGCTGGGTTCAGCACAGGGCCTTACTCCCAGGGATAAAGCTCAGCATTCCAGAAGGAACCTGCCTGACCTCATTTCCCACTGACCTGGAGTTTCTTGGAGGCCTGGACTTGCGCTTTCTCTCAGGGGAAGAGAGAAGTTATTTGAGGTTGTGGTAGTGAAGGTGGTGCTGATGGTGGTAGTGATGGCAGTGGTGTAGACGGTTCACTCAGCTTCCCTCCCCTGCCCCCAGCCCATGGCTCCACTCTGGCTTTGGAATCAGTAATCACAGTTTCTCCTCTGCCTGTCCTTTGAGGGGTGACTCACCAAACCCTCCCCTCGTCCCCTTTCCCGCCCTCAGAGGTGTCATCTCACCCCAGACAGAATCGTCCACCCCCTCTGTATCCACTCCTGGGACTCTTATTTCCATGGCAACGGCCCGAACTAATTGCAACCCTCATCCCTGAAGTTCAGCCTGCAGGGCCAACACTCCACCCCCACCCTGGGCAGGAGGGGTGGGAGGCCAAGGGGGTTGGCCTGGGGTCCCCTCTGCCGCACTGCCTTAACATCCTCAGCTCCTGATTCACCATCAACCGTGGATTTAACCCTCACCATCACTACCCTTTTTCCCTGGGTTAAATTTTGGTCTCCGGGCTGTGGTAGAAGGGGAGGGATGAGAGCTGGAGGCTCTGATTCTGTGATGCAGAACCAGCTTTGACTGGTTTGGAGAAAACAGAGGGCCTTTTCTCAGGACCTACCCAACAATTTCAGTTCTAGGGACTCAGGAGACCAAAATCTGTGCCCTGCCCCCACACCTCTGCCTATGTTACCCCATCCCCTGCACCTCCGAATGCTGTGTTACCCTTCAGCTCCTGGCCTCGGGCCCTCTCCCTCTTCACCTCTGTCCCTCCTCACCTTCCCTTTCTACTCTTTTCTTTCCCCTCTCCTGGTTATTCTCCTCTTTGATTCCAGGCTTTTTTTTCTCCTCTCTCAATCCCCGCTGCCGACCCCCTTTCTGTCCCGCCCTGGCCGCCCTCCCGCGCTCCCCTCCCGCCGCTGCCGGGCCGGAGTTGAGGAGTGTGTGTTCTGTTTCTCCCCTGTGCCCCGCCCTCTCCCTCGCCCTCCCGCCGACCAGGAGAGGGCGGAGCTGGCCGCGGGACGGAGGCACCTGGAGGCCCGCCAGGCGCTCTACGCCGAGCTCCAGACACAGCTCGATAACTGCCCCGAGTCAGTGCGGGAACAGTTACAGGAGCAGCTGAGAAGGGTCAGTTCCACCGCCCCCCCTCCCCCGGCCCCTGCGGGCCACGCCCCAGAAGGAAGAGAGGAGAGCGGTGGGACGGGACCGCCTGGCCCCTGGAGTACCTGCTGGACACCAGGGTCGGTGCTGCGGCTTGGAGGGAACCGGGAAGGTTGGGGGGTATCAGCGCTCCAGGCCGTGATGCCCCGCGAAAGAGCAAGGCCAAGTACAGCGGGAGTTGGGTGGAGGCAGGTTTCTTACCCAATTTCCCCGGGTCCAGCCCTGTACAACGCATGCCCCTGTGGCCTGGCCTTCCAGGCCCAGAGTGGCATTGCAAGCGCCACCCAACCCCCTTTGTCACTGTCGTTGAAGGAGGCAGAGGCCCTGGACACTGAGACAAAGCTCTTTGAGGACCTGGAGTTCCAGCAGTTGGAGCGGGAGAGCCGCGTGGAGGAGGAGCGCGAGCTGGCCGGCCAGGGGCTGCTCCGGAGCAAGGCTGAGCTGCTCCGCAGCATCGCCAAGAGGAAGGTGTGCCCCCCACCCACCACCCCCCGTTCCCTGCTGCGTGCTGTTGGAGGCCAGTGACCTGGGTTTGAATCGCAATGACCTTACAAGAGTTAACTTCACCTTTCGTACCTGGGTTTCCTTGTATGTAAAATGAGAATTAGAACAGGCTGTTGTGAGAATTAAACAAGATGTAAAGACAGAATAGGATGTGATTGTTGTAAGCACTCGGTGAAGGATAGCTATTACGGTATTATTAAGCTGTGACTCCTCTCAGTCTTCCAGTGGAAAATGGATTATGCTCTCATTCAGAGCTTGGGACTGGCCTGGCAGGAAGGTGAAAGATGAAGGAGGCAGCTGGCCCCTGTGCTTGCGGAGCTCTTGTCTGGTGGGAGTGCTGGGACACAGAAAGATTTGAGATCTGGATATTAGAGCCGGTTAGGAGCCCGAGATAGGGCATTCATTTGGTTTCCAGCCATGGCTCAGCCCCGCCTTGGCTGAGCTATAAAACAAGGGGATTGGGCATTGTGGCCTGTCTGGCTCTGACACGCTAAAGACTGTGATGGTCTGCTCCTGCTCTCGGCCAGACCACAGGATGGTGGGGCAGGTGCCTGTGTGTCAGGGTGGGGTGTAAAGCTGGGAGGAGGTATGTGTTAGTAAGGGCTGGGAAAAGGTGAGGGAGGGGACTGGAGAGGATGGCTCAAGCAGCTTCCATTCTTATGGCTGAAGCTTGTGCTGTGCACACGCAGGCATGCACGTGCATTTTTCCTGGCTAGAGTGAATGCAGGGGAAGTGAGGGTGGTGAGACTGGGGAGGGGTGTCTAAAATTGGCTTAGGGGATTTGCTGGCTAGCCTGGGTTTGGTGGTAAGTGGGGAGCTGCTGGACCTTCCTTCAGTCTAGGTCCCATGCTGCTCTCCGTGATATAAGGCTGACTGATGAAAGGCAGGAAGAAAATTGACATACTTAAGCACATGGGTGTGTGTCAGGCACCCTGCTGGGAGCCTTCCTGAGATTACTTCATGCTGTCCTTAGGATGGTACCACAAGGCAAGTGCTGTTCTCCCCATTTTATAGACAAGGAAACTAGGAGTAGGAGAAGCTACATATTTTGCCCAAAACCTCCCATTATATAAGTTTCAGAGTTAGAATTGGAACCCAGGCCTGCTGGCCCAAATCACATGTTCCTTCCACTGTACTGCACTGAGGCTAGGGGCGGACACTTCTCTAGCCTCTCCCTCTTTCTTTCTGGAGGGAATGCAGTAGGGAATTGTAGATCAGCTAATCTCATCCGTTTGGGGCTCTGGTGGGTATAAGCTCCAGGGAGTTTGGGAGGGCTTGGCAGTAGTGGATTCCTCTTCCCAGACCCATCCTGGCTCCTGGGAAACTGGAGCTCAGCCCCTGGTACCTGGGGTGTCACATTCTTCCCCATGCTCCTCCTTAGGAATCTTGTCCAGCTTTCATCCCCAGACCCTAGTGTCCCACCTTAGGCTCTGTCTGCCCTGGTGCCCTGTGTTCCCCTGCCCTTTCCACTCTTACTCATAGTGGCTCAGGGTACTGCCCTGGGACTCCAATAGATGTTTCTAATCCTTGTTGTACCACTTAGCTGTTTAAGAGATCTTAGCTCCTAAATATGTTGGTGTTCTCACCTGTAAAGTGGGTATAAAGGCAGCTGCCTCATAAGGGAATGTATTAAATGACATAACAAATGAAAAACATTTAGCAGAATAACTGGCTCCTAATGGGTTCTTAGTAAATGGCAGCTCTTGCTGTGAGGATTACTGCCTAGCCTACTTTGTTGTTGTTGTTGATTTTGAGACAGAGTCTCACTCTTGTAACCCAGTTTAGAGTGCAATGGCTTGATCTCAGCTCACTGCAACCTCCACCTCCTGGATTCAAGTGATTTTCTTGCCTCAGCCTCTCAAGTAGCTGGGATTACAGGTGCCCCCTACCACACCTGGCTAATTTTTGTACTTTTAGTAGAGACAGGGTTTCACCATGTTGGCCAGGCTGGTCTCGAACTCCTAACCTGAAGTGATCCAGCCTCCTTGACCTTCCAAATGCTAGGATTACAGGCATGGGCCACCGCACCTGGCCAGCCTACTTTGGTCTTCTCTTAGACTGACCCAGGTTTAGGACATCCTTCTTTAACTTTTCCTGTCCCATGACTTGCTCCTAAGGGTGGTAGTTTAAAGCCGCCTTCTTCAGGAAGCCCTCCTGGGATTAACCCAGCCCATTTTTCCCGTCCCTCATCCTTTCCCCTTACTTACTATCTTTTTATTGCCTTTTGGCACATGATTGTTGAGCCAGGACTAGGCTAAAAGCCCTACTGGGGTATAAAGACAGAAAAGATATGAGTTCTGCTATGGATCTTACATTTGGGGCAGTGTGGTGGTGGTGATAACAGATATATTCACAGATAACAATAATAAAGGCAGATGGTGATACAGGGTAATGTGAACATATAGGAAGGAACAAAGAAATTGAGTGGCATCAAGGAAGAATTTGGAGAGAAGGTAGCATTTGGTCTGGTCTTAGATGATAAGTAATCTTCTCTACCTATAGAGAAGGTTGGGACAGCTCTTTTGGCCTAAGGAAGCAATATAAGAAAGGCCTGAGAGTTTACAGCCACACAGCTGAGTGTACAGTGTGGCTGAGCTAAGAGGACGTGGAGGCAGTAGGAGGGAGGGGAGCTGCAAAGCGTGGAACCAGTTTGGGAGCCCTGAGTGCCTGGTAAGGAGTTTGTGCTTTATCCTGTGGGTAATGAGGAGTCACTGAAAGATTGTAAGGTGAGGCGTGATCTGACCTTACTTGTGAATTTTTAAAAAATTATTCAGGCAATATTTTTTTTAGAAAGTAATTTTTCTTTTTAGAAAAATTAGAAAATTCAGATAAGAAAACACACCTCAAAGTCATCTTAGGAAGATATTTGTGACAGTGTGGAGTGGATCAGGAAGTTGACAGTGGAAGTAGAGGCTGGTGAGAAGGTCCAGGCCAGGGAAGCAGAGGGCCTGGATTTGGGCGGTGGCAAGTGGGGTTGGGATGGGGGAATAGGGCAGATGGAGTGTCTCCAGACTTTGGGATCCATTAGCCGTGGGGTAAGGGAAGGGAGATTTGAGGATCTGGGTGGTATGCCTAATACAGGGTCATTGGTCAAGGGTGGGAGGGAGGTGCGAGAGAAGGAGCCTACATGGCAGCCTGAGTTTTCTTAGGGTAAGCTGAAGCCAAGCGGAAGAGCCGGTTGATCCTCTTCACTTGAGCCTTGAATCTCTGGGCAGGGGAACCAGCCAGTTCTCACATTGGGCTCAGCCCTGTCTCCCCAGGGCCTGACCAACCACCCCATCTCCTCTAGGAGCGCCTGGCCGTCCTCGACAGTCAGGCCGGGCAGATCCGGGCTCAGGCTGTGCAAGAGTCGGAACGCCTGGCCCGGGACAAGAATGCTTCCTTACAGCTGCTGCAAAAGGTAGTGCCCCTTGGGTTGGGCTGAGGGATTTGGAGTAGGGTAAGCGGGAGGGGAGTGCAGAAGGGCTGGGGTGCAAATGTGCTGGGGTGGAGCACGGGGCCCCCCTCACACAGTCTCCTGGCTCCCACTCCTCTTTGACACTCTGCCACTCTGGGCTTCCAGGAGAAGGAGAAACTGACTATGCTGGAAAGGAGATACCACTCACTCACAGGGGGCAGGCCTTTCCCGAAGACCACATCGACCCTCAAAGAGGTATCATGATTGAGTTAGTCCCAGCTTCAGGCCCAAGGGGTGTCCCAGCAGGCTCTGAGTAACATATGGCACTTTCACCCCAATGGCTGAGGTCGTGTGGGGGCATCTTCCTGAATGGGAGAGATTTGAGGAGGAATGGCCCCAGGCTCCGGGGTTTGACCTTCCGTGGCTACCAGCTACCTCATTTAGTTGCCTTTTCACTGTTTTTGGTGGCTGAATATATGTGGGGACTCAGGGGCCTGTGTTGGGTGGGCAGACAGCTCAGAGGTTTGGTAGCGGCTGGGCTGGATGGACTCACCTTGAAGGGGACCATAGAGATCTAGGGGTGCTGATGCTGGGGCTCCTGGGCTTCAGTCCTGAGTTAGGCCTTTGTCTCAGAAGAGGACATTGGGTCCCCATAAATGGTTCTTCCCCAGGTCTGTATGTCTGGTGAGTGAGTTCCAAATAGAACATATCTGGTTTACCAACTTCTTTCCCTCCCTCCCTGCCTCGTTACACAAACAATTTAGGCCTGGGGTGGGGAGCTGGGTTGAGTGTGAAGGATGCAGCCCTCACCATGTCCCCTCTCTGTAGGCTGAGCTGCTCATCTCCGAGTCCTCAGAGATGGGGCTGGGGACTAAGGCTCTGGGCCTTTTCCCAGGGTCTTTTCAGGCTGGGGCCTCCTCTGTCTCTTTAATCCCACCTGTGTCCACTCTTCTCTGCCCCAAAGCACAAGAGGTAATCACAGCTAACTGCGTGCTCTGCTTTGCCCACTGCCTGCCTGGCTGCCCGCTGAGCCCCTGCCTACAGCTCCTTCCAGGGTCTAGCTGAAGGGCATGTGGTGATAATTTCCTGGCTGGCCAGCGTTTGGGAGAGTGTGTGTGAGCGTGCCATGCTGCCATTCCATAGAGTGCCTGGGCAGCCCATTGAATTGCATATGAATTTGCCTATATGCTGCATGCCAATCATCAGTTCTCACAACATACTGGGCCCTCGGGCTCATTTTCCTTTTCCATGACCCCAGAGGACAGCCTGGTTCTAGAGCTAGGCCTGAATGGGCCCCTTGGGTAGGGCAGGCTTATGATCCTGTGCTTTGATTTGGCATGCATTGTGGAGGTCTACCATGTTCCCAGCACCCAGATAAACTCAGTTTCTAAGGACAGGTGATGAACACGACAGTCGCTGTTCTCCCAACCCACAGTTGAATGTGTTGGCCTCTTTCCATGGAGGACTTACCTTGGGCAGTGGGCCTATTTTTCTGCCAGGCTTTTAGCTGTTCCTTGCTAAGGCCCTGGTGTTGTCTCTACCTTCCCTCACCTGTTTCTAGCTCCTGCCTGGGCTGATGGGGTGTGAGGGGGCCCTGGGGAATGGTATGACTGTTGTTCAGTGCTGCATGTGTGTACCCCACTGGGGATGCCCAGGTTGTTGGAGACAGGTGGGGTCTCTGGGAGCTGGGTTCTGATCCTCAGTGAACCTTAGACGGCGTCCTGTGGGCTTCTTTGCCCACCCGCAGCCCGGGGCGAATTAAGACATGGGCCTTCAGGGTCTGCCTGGGCCAGGACTGGATGCCAAGGTGGCTCCAAAAGTGGAGGGCAGGAGGAGCCTTCAGACAGTTGATTCTGCTGCCCTTTTCTGTTCTCCGTCACTCCCTGCAGCCATCTATGGGCATAGTAGGTATCCCACTCCTGCCTTGGATTTTGTATTGACATGGAGTGACAGCCCTGTGGCCTGGCATGGAGTTTGGGGTGTTGGGCACCTTGTTGAACCCGCTTAACCCCTTCTTTGCCCATCCCTACCCCTTTCACTGGGTACCCCAGGAATATGTGACCCTGGCAGAAGTTTTCCAGCTGTGTTCCCGCTTGGACCCCTATGCTTCTGTCACCTCCCCCAGTGTGCTCGCCCAGCCCCTGCCTGACAGTGAGGTACCAGCCGTCAAGTGTTCCCACCAATGCCCAAGGACCTCTTTATGGATGACCTAGATTCCCCTTTGGGCCTGGGTGGGGCTGGAGGGACGGACAGCAGGGTCTATCTTTGACAGTGCAGTGAGGGAGAAGGGCAGCCTGCACAACAGGAGGTTGGGAGTGGTTTCTTTTCTTCCCTGGGGCCTTGGGAGCTTTCTTTAGCTCCTACGGTCTGGGGAGGGGCAGGCCTTCTGCTTTAGGATGAGGGCATTGAGTTGAGAGGACTCTGGCTCTTTTAGGCTGCAGGCTCTCTACTTCCTGCCCTTTCCCTACCTCCCCCTGTGGGTAGGGCCATCTCATGTGTTCTATTCCCATTAACCTCTTATATTCCCTCCTGCGTCTGGCCTTGCCCCAAGTACGTGATGCTTGAGCAGCTAAAGGTGATGCGGGGCACCTCGCCCATGCCCCCAGCCCCTGTGCCAGACCTTCCTCCCTGGGCCTCCGCCTCCCGGGACCTGGTTCCCACCACCTGCCTTCCTCCCATGCTGCCCTCCTCCTCCGCTTCCATCACGCCTTCACCCAAGGTTGGTGGTCTGTGAGTTCTTGCTACCCCCCCCCACCCAACATGACTGGTGTGCTCCATGTGTGTTTTGCCCCTGCTCACCTGGCCTCTTGGCTCTGGGCCAGCCCAAAGGGAGTGCCCAGTGCCTGCAAGCTCTGTCCGGTGGCTGGTTTCATTGTAGCACATGTCTATGGTCTGGAAGTTGTACCCTGACTGTTTCTCTTTGCCCTTAGTACATTCAGGGCAACTATTGTCTCACTGTTTTTCTCTTCTTTTTCTTGATGTTCTCCTTTCTCCCTTCCTTCCTTCCCTTCTTCCTTCACCTTCCTGTCCATTTCCCTGATCCGGCCTTCCTTTAACCTTCCCCTTCCTTCTTCCTCTTCTTTCTTCTTTCTCCCTTCTCCTGCCTTTTCTTTCCCCTTTATTTCCTGGCCATTCCTCTCCATCTTTCCTTCCTCTCCTGTCCCTTTTTCCCCTTCCCATTCCCACCTCCAGATGGAGAAGCTGCTGCTCCCTGCTGTAGACTTAGAGCAGTGGTACCAGGAGCTGATGGCCGGGCTGGGGACTGGCCCTGCTGCAGCCTCCCCTCACTCTTCTCCCCCGCCTCTGCCTGCCAAAGCTTCCCATCAGCTGCAGGTAACCCCTCCACAGCCCGTCCAACCCCAGCCTTTGCACCTGTTCACTCTGATACCTGCTGCCAATCCATCAGCCACACAGTAGCACCTTGAGCAGAGGCGTCAGCCCAGCAAGGGCAATGAGGGCGTTTCTGGTCCCTGAGAGGGTCACTCCATGGGCAGCCATCCTGGCATGTGGACAACCAGAGGGCCAGCCTCCTGAGTCTAAAGCTATCTGATGAGTGTCTAGTAGAAGTGGGTTCTGGAGCTGTGATCAGTTTGGGATCTGTTTGGTGCCCTGTGCTAAGCCAGAGCTTCTCACCCAATCTGGGGACCTGACATGCTCTTGGGCTGGTTGCAACTGGACCTAGTGTGTCCTGGGAGAACTGCCAGTATTTTGCTGTCCTGGTCTCTCCAGGGGTTACACTTGGAAGCAGAAAAGAAGGGGCAAAGACTCTGAAGTGAAGCCCAAGTCTCCTGAGGGTTGCCATGGAAGATGTGGGTCTATCTGAAACTGCAGCAAGCAACTGACCATGGAGTGGGAAAGGGGGCTGGGATAGTCTTCCGCTCAGGTTTCCCTCACTGACCTGCTGCAGTGCCTAAGATTTACCATTTAAGATCATACCTTGAATGAAGGCACTGCATCTGTAAGACTGACCTCAGCTAAAATGTCAGGTTTCCCTGGGGAGGAGTTTGATCGTATAATACTTGTACTGTGTACCCCACTGGTTAGAGGCTTTAACATGTTTTGATTCTCTTAATCATCACCATTGGCCTTTGAGGTAAATGAACTCTTATTTTAAAGATGAAACACTGGGGCCTGGAGAAGATAGGTAATCTCTCCAAGGCCACACAGCTAGGAAGCAGCAGAGCTGTTGCCAAGTCAGGGTTTGTGACTCTAAAGGCCATGTTCACTGCATGCTGGTGCTTCAGGGGAGTCTGGCGATTATTTAGTCTAGTCCTACCCACTTCTTTTGCAGATAAGGAAGTCAAGGCCCAGAGTAGGGAGGTGTGTGGCCCAAAGTCCCACAGCCTGTTAGTGGCTGAGCTAGGACTAGAGGGAACTCAGCTTCTGGTTGGTCTCCTGCACCTGCCTGACTGACGTTAAATCCTTGCATAGGTCTGTTTACAGCTCTTTTCTTAGACCCAGGGTCGGGCTAGGGATTGGCCCAGGGAAGAGCAGCCTGGAAAGGAGAATTGCCAGGTGCCAATAGCATCTGGCCATTGGGCTGGCTCAGGAGGCTCAACCTGGTTGTCAGAGCCAGAAGGCCTCAGAGGCCTGGTGCCAGGGCGGTACTTCAGATCACAGCCAGACGAGGTGACATGGGGGAGGTGGCCCATGGGGGAGCCAGAAGTCACTGGGCACTATCTTTTCTCTCCAGGTCTACCGCTCCAAGATGGATGGCGAGGCCACCAGCCCCCTTCCCCGGACGCGGAGTGGCCCACTCCCCTCCTCCTCTGGCTCATCCTCCTCCTCCTCCCAGCTCAGCGTGGCTACCTTGGGACGTAGCCCCTCCCCAAAGGTCTGAGGACAGTGGGTGGGGCTGCACATGTGGCAGGGGGAGACTGCCATGCTGGGGAGAGGCCAAGACCACCCATAAAAGCCTTGGGAATGGGGCTGAGGACCTTCTGAGCCCAGGTCCAAATGCTCCATTCTTCTGCAGAGTGCTCTACTCACCCAAAATGGCACGGGCAGTCTTCCTCGAAACCTGGCAGCCACGCTCCAGGACATCGAGACCAAGCGCCAGCTAGCTCTGCAGCAGAAGGGTGAGTGACTGCACCGCCAGCCCACCTGCTCTCCTGAGGGGACCTTCCTCCATGCTCACACCTTTCACCAGATGTTTTTCCTTTCAGTGGGATCTAGGCAAGAGCAGAAAGGATTTAGATTGGGTACCTAAAGAAGAGCTTCTGGGATATTTATCAAAAGCCTTCAGGGCAGGAGACTAAGGGTCTAGGGGGCTGTGACGTCTTTCCTAGAGAACCTAGCCAATAAAGGAGGTGCCTGTGGACCTGAGTTGGGTTAGACATTGCCCTCTCTGGAGGCAGGGGATGGATTTGATGACTTCTAGAAATGGTTGCCTGAGATACTCTGGGGACCCAAGGGTCCTTGTTGCTTGTGTGCAATTTGGTTGTTTTGAAAGCCCATGTCTGTGCCTCTCTCTCCTCTTACCCCCTCTGTGTCTCTACCGTACCCTCTGCCCGGGGTCCCCTACGCCAGTCGAGTCGCTTCCTGCCGAGCCCCTTCCAACCGACGAACCAGCAGGTAGAACGTTGGTCCTGGAGGGCATTGCTTTGGCCAGACAACCCCTGCCCTGGCATCAGCATGATGTGTCCTGCCCAGGCCCCCCTGCCTGCAGGCAGGTCCCAGGCTGAGCTGGGTTGGGGTATCCGCTGGCCTCACCCCTCTAGCTGGCCTCTCTTCTGCCTCAGCTGTGCTCTCCCATGTCTCCCCTGCCTTCTTTCCTGCTTTTGTTGCTTTTGCTTCTGCATCGCAGGGGGGTCTGCACTGGCACTGTGGGTGCTCATGGGGTTTCTGCCATCTCTTCCTTCTCCCTTCTCCAGCAGGCAGGGTGGGTGCATGTTTTCTGCTGAGACCTACTTAGGCCTTGGTTGTGAGCTGGAGCCAGCTGGCTGTCATGCTGCCTGGGCACTACTTGGGTAGGTCTGGTGTCCTGTGTGGACTCAGGATGCGAAAGAGCACTGAAGCCAGACTGTGTGGCTGTGGCCGGTTGTGCAGGCAACTGAAGCATTGGCAGAGCAACCAGGCCTGGAGCTGCAGGGGCCTTAGGGACGCTGCAGGGAGAGGGGGCTGCTGTGTTAACCTCTCCCTGCTCGCCCCTCCCTCTGTCTGTGGTGCTACCAGTGGCCTTCTCCTTAGCTGCGTGGGGAGCCTACCGTGACTCCCACCTGTCTCTCCTGCAGGACAACAAGTGATTGAGGAGCAACGGCGGCGACTGGCCGAACTGAAGCAGAAAGCGGCAGCTGAGGCACAGTGCCAGTGGGATGCCCTGCACGGGGCAGCGCCCTTCCCAGCAGGCCCCTCGGGCTTCCCCCCTCTCATGCACCACTCTATCCTACACCACCTGCCTGCTGGGCGGGAGCGTGGGGAGGAGAGTGAGCACGCCTATGATACGCTGAGTCTGGAGAGCTCTGACAGCATGGAGACCAGCATCTCCACTGGGGGCAACTCGGCCTGCTCCCCTGACAACATGTCCAGGTACCTCTTAGGCCCGGGCCCACTGCCTCCCTCAGCCACCTCCTCAGCTCCTTGATGCACCTCCTCTTCCTCTTCTGTCTGCAGTATGAGTGGTCTGGACATGGGGAAGATCGAGGAGATGGAGAAGATGCTGAAAGAGGCTCACGCAGAGAAGAGCCGGCTCATGGAGTCAAGGGTGAGTCTGACCTGGATTGAGAAGGCAGAAGGTGATGGGCACAGAGCTGCCTGCTGCCTGTCTAGGGCCTGTGCTCCACCCCAAGCCCTTCCACCCACATGAGCTTTGCAACATTCCCTTGGGGTAGAAAATGTTTTAAAAGGTTGTTTTCCTCAAATGGGCATAGGGAGGCTTGGTGAGATTACAGCTTCATGGCTCTTAGGAACAGAGAAGGCAGCACGGTGATCATTCTCCAACCAAGAATTTCTTGTGTGGAAACATCCAGTTTTTGCACGTTTGCTTCTTAGACTTTTTGGCAACTACAGGGATTTTGATTCCTGTCTACCTGCATGGCAGGCCATTCCTCTTGGGGCTGATTAGGAAAAGCAGGAACTGTGGCTGAAGTATAGACCAGAAGAGGAGACAGATGTCCAAGGCAGAGTAGAGGTGTTGGCTGGGGAGCTCTGGGAGCAGAGAGGGCTGACAGCTCCTTCATGTGGCGTGGAGCTGGGATTCAGCAAAGAGGGACCTGTGGTTTATCCTGGGCATAGGCAGGCTGATTAAATATGTGCCTAGGAAGGAGGATCAATAAAGGATCTGCAGAAGCTGTGCTGTGTCCACCATTCGAGGTACTCTGCATATTTGAGATGAGAGTGGGATGCAGGGAGTAGGGTCAGCAGTTTGAGGGATTTAATAAAAAACAGATACTGACAGTTTGAATGGAGGACCAACCAGAAAAGAATGCCTCCTATCTTATTTATGTCTAAATATGGCAAATGTCTAAGCAGCTCCCAGCAAATGTGGGGAAAGGACATTCTGCTGAATTTTGAGCTGGGAAGAAATGGTAAATGGGAGTTAATGGTATAAGAGGTCTTTATCAGTAATTAAGACATATAAAGCATCACTGACATGCTCTGTATTTAATTATTTGTTTTAATGACTTCTAAAATCCTTTCATAGTGGCATTTTTTTTTTTTTTTTTTTTCTGAGACAGAGTTTCACTCTTGTTACCCAGGCTGGAGTGCAATGGCGCGATCTCGGCTCACTGCAACCTCCGCCTCCTGGGTTCAGGTGGTTCTCCTGCCTCAGCCTCCTGAGTAGCTGGGATTACAGGCACGTGCCACCATGTCCAGCTGATTTTTTTTTTGTATTTTTAGTAGAGACAGGGTTTCACCATGTTGACCAGGATGGTCTTGATCTCTTTACCTCGTGATCCACCCGCCTCGGCCTCCCAAAGTGCTGGGATTACAGGCTTGAGCCACCGCACCCGGCCTATAGTGGCTTTTATAAGTTCACTTCTGACCTTAGTCTCTAGTCACTTTTTTCCCATAAAGTGTGAAGTTCAACAACAAATGTTTCCAATTTGGAGTTTCAAAGGCCTTCAGTTAGTGATTGGGAAAGGACCACTGAATATATTAGTTGTCAAAAAAACTTGTTTAGATAACATATGTTCTGAGAATTCAGATACAATTGTAAGAACCCCATTTATTTTTTGAGTGCTTTCCTACTGGAATCAGTGATGGACATTTATATATATGATCTAATTTCATTTGCACTATAATTCCAGGAATGGGCATTCTTAACTTCATTTCACAGATGAGACAACTGAGGCTTACAAAGTTTAAATGGCCGGCTGCAATGGCTCATGCCTGTAATCCCAGCTTGGGAGGCTGAGGCAGGAGAATTGCTTGAACCCGGGAGGCAGAGATTACAGTGAGCCAAGATCACGCCATTGCACTCCAACCTGGGCAACAGAGTGAGACTCGATCTCAAAAAAAAAAAAAAGTTTAAATAATTTTATCAGGGTTACAGAGCCCATAGTGGTAGCAGGGCCAGGGTTTGAAGCCAGGACAGTCATGATTTAAAGCATTTATCTTTAACCAGCCAGGGCTCTTGGAGTGGGTGGGCTTTGAAAATGTTGCCTCCTCATGCCAGACTACCCTGAGGGGGATGCCTCCTGTAGCCCTGCCCAGGTGTGATGAGGGCCAGTTGAGGGAAAAAGGTGGCCATAGGTGCTGACCCCTTGGCTTTGGGGGCAGGAGCGGGAGATGGAGCTGCGGCGGCAGGCCCTGGAGGAGGAGCGGCGGAGGCGTGAACAGGTAGAACGGAGGCTGCAGAGTGAGAGTGCCCGGAGGCAGCAGCTGGTGGAGAAGGAGGTCAAGATGCGGGAGAAACAATTTTCCCAGGTGAATGGGCAGTTGGGGGCAGTGGTGGTTGGCGTGATGGTGAGGGCTGTAGAGAAGTAGGGAGATCCCAGGGTTCCTGTGTTGGGCTGTAAAACCTGTTCTACTCCAGAAAAGATGTTGTTGGCTTAACACAAGCAGAATTCCACTTGGGACTCACTGACCCAAAACACAGACCCACCAGGACTTGTTCAAGTATGTGTGTGTATGTTTGTGTGTGTGTGTGTGTGTGTGTGTGTGTGTGTGTGTACCAGGGTAGTGGGTTGTAAGGATGTGGCAGGCCACCTTGCAGACATTCGGGGTCAGAGAAGAGGGTCTGGACAGACATCCCAGAGACAGGAGCTGATAGTCAAGAATCAGAGTAGCTCTCCTTGGCTTCTCTCCAGGGCCTCATATCTGCCTCATGAACCTGCAATGCACCTTCCCTTCTGCTTCCCCTGCTGCCCCTCCTGCATGTGGAACTTCAGGGTGTGCTGGCCCACCCCCAATAGGACCTTTCCGCTCCAGTCCCCACCATCAGTGGATGACCTCACTCTGACTTTTGATTTATATCTCAAAGACAGAATTGTACTAGTTTCTCTTTGGGACAGAAGTCCCTCCTTGCCCAAAAGCCAGTTCTACCCTTTCTCCTTAAGCAGGAGGTTTGAGCAGAACAATTGAAAGCAGAAGGAGAAATTGGGCTGGGCTGAGAAATCTGTCCATGTCTCTGGTCTCAAATCCTAACTCTCACAACCCCCCATGAGAATCTGTAGGACCTAGATAGGCTGTCCCTCCTGATTAGGTCTCTGTAGCCTTCCCCAGGTTGGGAGTCCCCTGGAATCTCCCCCAGCAGTGATCACAGCTCCCCTAATTTCCTACAGTGTAACAAAATGAATTCTAAGGGATAGGGGAAGTAATGAGATTGGGTTGGGGAAATAATGAGAAGAGGCTGGGCACAATGGCTTACACCTATAATCCCAGCACTTTGGGAGGCCGAGGTACACGGATCACTTGATGCCAGGAGTTCTAAGACCAGCCTGCCTGAAACATGGTGAATCTCCATCTCTACAAAAAAATAGAAAAATAGCTGGGCATGGTATTGCACACCTGTAATCCCAGCCACTCTGATGTCTGAGGCACGAGAATCACTTGAGTTCAGAAGGTAGAGGTTGCAGTGAGCTGAGATCTTGCCACTGCACTCTAGCCTGGATGACAGAGTGAAATTCTGTCTCCAGAAAAAAAAAAATGCTCTGTGAATTTTACCTCTGTGGTTGGAGTGTTTGTAAAATGCCTGTCTTCCCTTTCCTACTTCAGTCAGTGACTGCTCTGGGGTCTCTCTTCTAGCCCCCGTCCTGGGGTTCAGGCATTGCTGCAGTGGCCACCCGTGTCTGGTGTGGGAGATGGGTGGAATCAGCTATCTGTGGGGTCATGTGTTTTGTTTTTTTCTTTAAATAATGTGTGATGTTGCCTTGTCATTCTAATGTTCTTCTGAGAAAGGAAGAGTAGAAAATAATTGAGAATTCTAGTCAGTATCAGAGGTAGAGTAGACCTTAGTAATTATCTAGTTCGAAGCCCCTGTTTTACATGGAAGGAAACTGAAGCTGAGAGAAGGGATGTGACCCAAACAAGGTCCCCATTGAAGTCAGAGACTAGATTTCTTTTTTTTTTTTTTTTAAAGATGGGGTTTCACCATGATGACCAGGCTGGTCCTGAACTCCTGACCTCAGGTGATCCACCCACCTCGGCTTCCCAAAGTGCTAGGATTACAGGTGTGAGCCACCACGCCCGGCAAGGAGACTAGATTTCTTATTGGGCCTTTCTTCCCAGAGCATGTTCGTATCTGGCTTCTTGCTTTTTTCTGTTTGGCTCAGGAGGGAAAGAAGGGGCAGGGCAAGACAGAGATGCCATGTCTTGGTCATAGGTGGGAAAACTGAGGCATAGGGCTTCGCAATTTGCCCAGCCCTAGATAGAGTCAACGTAGGTATGGTAAGTCTCCACTTGTGCCATAAGCCCTATGGAGCCAAAGTGACCGCCATGGGTTAGGGAGGGGTATTGTCAGGCTATTGGGTGTTTAGAACTGAAGCCTAGGGGCCTGGACAGGGGAATAATGAGGAAGAGAGGAGACTCTCCTGACCTTCCCTTTTGCTTCCAGGCACGACCCCTGACCCGCTACCTGCCAATCCGGAAGGAGGACTTTGACCTGAAGACCCATATTGAGTCATCAGGCCATGGTGTTGATACCTGTCTGCACGTGGTGCTCAGCAGCAAGGTACAAGGCGTGTGTGGCCCTGGGGTGCTGGGGAGAGGGAGGACCCCATGGTGAGAGGTACCTCCTGGGTCATTGGAATAGTGGCCTCAGTTTCTACCCTTACCTAACCAGATCTCTGTCCCAGGACCTGGTGTGCTGGCCTGAAGGGATGTTGGGGACAGTCCCCCATGAATACAGGCACAGGCGATGGCATACACTTAAGGCTTAAGGGCTGCACATTTGGGTCCTTCCTTACTCCTGCTTCCCACCAGGTCTGCCGGGGCTACTTGGTCAAGATGGGCGGCAAGATTAAATCATGGAAGAAGCGCTGGTTTGTCTTCGACCGGCTCAAGCGCACCCTTTCCTATTATGTGGGTGAGTTCCCACAAGGCCACCCTGGGAGCCAGCCAGGACCCCTGGGCTCTGTTACCTAGGACAGCTGGTCTTCCGGAAGGAGGCCAAGCTTCCAAGTTGGGGACCAGAGGCTTGGGCTGAGCCTTGTCCTCCTTCCCTGAAAATGTACGGAATGTACTTGGCTCACTTCCATTTATGTGTTCATTCATTCATTCATTCAGCAATATTGCTAAGCATCTAATAAGTTCCAGGCACTGTTCTAGGCTTTGGTGATAAGTGAGATGGCCACAGCTCTCTCATGAAGCTTATAGTCGGGGAAGCAGACAAGAGTTAACAGTGTACAATGGGCATGCTGATAGGAGACACCCAGGCACTGCAGAAGCATGAGGTTTTATGGTCGGAGTTGGGCTGGGAACTACTCCTTGGACAAATTCCCACAGAGACTCCAAGACAAGCAGTTGAATAGTGCCAAGGAGTGCTCAGGATAGCTCAGCAAGAGGCCGACTGGCCCCTCTTGCTCCCTCAGCTCTCTCCATTCCAGCCTCTAGCTTAGTTTCCTATCCCTGGAACTCCCTTTGGATTTTTCCACTTGGAGCATGGGATGCTGTGTCACCCTAGTCAGGAGAAGGTGAGGTATGCTGCAGTAACAAGAAGTCTTAAAATCCCAGTGGCTGGACAGGTACGGTGGCTCACGCCTGCGATCCCAGCACTTTGGGAGACCAAGGCGGGCAGATCACTTGAGGCTAGGAGATTGAGACAAGCCTGGGCAACATGTCAAAACCCTGTCTCTTACTAAAAATACAAAAATTAGCTGGGTGTGGTGGCATGCGCCTGTAGTCCCAGCTACTTGGGAGGCTGAGCACGAGAACTGATTGAACCCAAGAGACAGAGGTTGCAGTGAGCCAAGATTATGCCACTGCACTCCAGCCTGGGCAACAGAATGAGACTCTGTCTCAAAAAAATGAATTAAAAAAGAAAATCCCAGTGACTCACAAGTACTAGGTTTCCTTATGTCCAATACATATCCATTGCACATTGCGAGTTGGTGGGGGCTCCACTCTGTATCAGTGTTGTCTTTGCTTCAGCTGCCTTTTGGGAACATGGCTGACCACGGTGGCAGAGGGAAAGGGCAGCTTAAGTGAGCCCTGCCTTGGTATTAAATGTCCCAGCTGGGAGGTGACACACGTCATTTCTGTCCACAAGTCATTGGTGGGGCTCTCTGCCAGTCATACAGCCTCACCCAGTTACAGAGCTGGGAAGAGCAATCCTGCTAGGAGCTCAAAAGAGGAGAAGGGGCTGCAGAGTGTAATGCCAGAGATGCTCAGGTCTGGAGTGCCCACTTCCCCTTAACCTGGTCCCTGATCACCTGCTGGCCCCTCTAAGAAGCTTTTCCTGACCACCCTGGGTCCTGGGTGTGAGGAGGCAAGAGAGACAGAAACACAGGTGTCCCATGTTTCTCTCTGGGCTGGGAAGGTAGAGGGACTAAGGACTTTGAAGAGGAACAGGCCTGGGGAAAAGAGTTCTGTTTTAGGCATGTTGAGATTGGGTGCCTCTGGGACATCTAGGTTTAGGAGGATGGTCAGGATTAGAGGTGGAGTAATGGCTGAAGTAACAGTTGGAGTAACAATAATACCAGATCACCTTTATCAAGTGCTTGCATGAGCCAGCTGCTATGCTAAGCACTCTGCATGCATCATCTCATTAATCTTTGAAATAATCCTATAAAGGAAACACTATTTTTTTTTTTTTTTTTTAGACGGAGTTTTGCTCTTGTTACCCAGGCTGGAGTGCAATGGCGCGATCTCGGCTCACCGCAACCTCCACCTCCTGGGTTCAGGCAATTCTCCTGCCTCAGCCTCCTGAGTAGCTGGGATTATAGGCACGCGCCACCATGCCCAGCTAATTTTTTTGTATTTTTAGTAGAGACGGGGTTTCACCATGTTGTCCAGGTTGGTCTCGATCTCTCGACCTTGTGATCCACCCGCCTCGGCCTCCCAAAGTGCTGGGATTACAGGCTTGAGCCACCGCGCCTGGCCCGGAAACACTATTTTAATGCCATTTTACACATGAGGAAAATGATGCTTGAAGAGGTTAAGTAATTGCCCAAGGTCTGTCAGCTCCTAAGAGATAGGGATAAGACTGAACCGGGCAGTCAGACTTAAGAGCAGAGAAGAGGGGAGGGAGAGGGCCAAACCCTGGGGCAGGCCTACCCGTGCGGGGAAGGAGAAAGAGAAGAAACCAGCAGAGGGAGAAGGGGCAGGAGACAGGAAGCCAGCAGTAACCATATGCCAGGTGCTAGGCTGGTGCTTGGCATATGTGGCCTTAGTTAGTGTCTGTGAAACAAAAGGAGACCAAGTTCAGATGGCAGGAATAGAAATGGGAGCAGAAACAGGGAAGGAAGCCAGCCAAAGGAGCAGACATTCACAAGCAGGAGGTGTCACCAGCGATGATGGATGCTGCAGAAAGGCCAAGAAAGACGCGGCCCAAAGGCTGTTAGACTCAGGGATGGGAGCTTGTCAAGAGAAGGCTTTCTGCTGTGCATGGGGCCAGGAGCCAGATTGCACAAGATTGAGGATAGGTGGGTGGTAAGGAAGCGGAGGCAGGAGCGTGTTACTATTTCCTGTGAAGGAAGGGATGGGAGAGAACAGGGGCTGCAGGGCTGAGCAGGCCCAGAGCCAGGCAGGGCTGGTCCTTTCCCAAGGGAGGAAATGTCAGAAATGGGTCTGTGGCTGGATAAGGGCCCTGGGTGCCTTGCTTATTCCACCTGGATCCTCCTCCTGCCAACTCGATAGAAACCCCCTCATTGCACAGAGTCCAGATTACATATTATCTCTAGGAAGCCTTTCCTGACCCCACCTTACTAGGAGTGATTCCCACCTTCCTCTGAACCCCTGCATTATCCAGGGTCTGTTTTTCCATGTGACATCAACCCAGGAGTGTAAGGACATAATAACAGTGCCACGTTGTGTGCCACACACTGTGAATACCTTAAATGTGTTCTCTCATTTAACACTCATGACAACCTGTGATGTGTAGGTGGTCTCATGAAATTCCTAGCCACTCCTTTACTAGCTATTTACACAGCTGTGTGTCTGTACTTTCTTCCCTGTTATGAGACTGTAGTTTCCTAAGAGAAGTGTCTCTGACTTCTCTCTGAATCCCAGCGTCAAGGACTCATTTGACTGCCTACTGTGTGCCAGGTACATAGTTGTTGGTGTTGGGGAAGGTAGACCTATGAATGGATAAAGGAGGATTCAGATTCAGCGTAAGTTCTCTGCAGAGGACCATCCGTGCTGTGGGAACACAGGCGAACACGACTGTGCACTGTCATGGTGACATTTGCAGTGGGTCTTGAAGATCATTTAGGAGTTTGCCAAGGAAATGGACTGGAGGAGACAGTTCCAGCATACAGAGTGTATTATTAAGAGAACAGTGAGAAGCTCAGATAGGACTTGGGGCTCATGCTGGGGAATGTTGTGATACAAGGCTGGAGGGGCATGTTGGCACCAGTCTGTAAGTTGCCTTTACCAAGCCACGGAGGTGGGGGAGAGTAGGAGATCTCAGGAAGGAGCTTACTTCCAGCGGGCACCACTGAGTTTAGTGACTGGTGTGACCTCTCCTGTAGGACTCAGTCTCATTGTTAAGGTTGTCAGTTGTAGCACCTGAGCAGTGCCACAAACAAGGTGGCCCAGGCCCTGTGCTTTCCCTTGACAGGGATCCTGCCCCTCCTCACTGAATGGTCACCTCGGCTCAGGTAGTCTGCCCTTTTCCTGCCACCTCTCACCTCCAGACGCTATGTACTATGTGTATATGCTAAATGCTCTGTACACATTGAGGGAGTGTGCTTCCTTTAAAAAAAAATAGGTAAAAATATCCATATGGTTCAAAAATAAAAAATATATTAAAAAATTGAGAATTATGCTCCCACCCATTACAGGTAACTGCTTATATTAATCTCTTTTTTTTTTTTTTTTTGAGACGGAGTTTCGCTCTTGTTACCCAGGCTGGAGTGCAATGGCGCGATCTCGGCTCACCGCAACCTCCGTCTCCTGGGTTCAGGCAATTCTCCTACCTCAGCCTCCTGAGTAGCTGGGATTACAGGCACGCGCCACCATGCCCAGCTAATTTTTTTGTATTTTTAGTAGAGACGGGGTTTCACCATGTTGACCGGGATGGTCTCGATCTCTTGATCTCGTGATCCACCCGCCTCAGCCTCCCAAAGTGCTGGGATTACAGGCTTGAGCCACCGCGCCCGGCCTATATTAATCTCTTGTGTATCCTTCTAGAGTTTCTGTAGGAGAATATAAGCATATACGAGCCCTTTTTCTTGCACAAAAGGTGACATACAGTACATTCCTTATTTGCCTCCTAATGTGTCTTAGAGATCATTCTATATCAAATTTATCTATATCTAGACATTATAACTGGGTATATATTACAGGTTTATTTCTGAGTCTGTATCTGTATCAGACATTTCTTTTTCTTTTCTTTTTTTTTTTTTTTTTTTTGAGACAGAGTTTTGCTTTTGCCCAGACTGGAGTGCAGTAGTATGATCTTGGCTCACTGCAACCTCCACATCACGGGTTCAAGTGATTCTCCTGCCTCAGCCTCCCAAATAGCTGGGATTACAGGAGTATGCCACTGTACCTGGCTAATTTTTATATTTTGAGTAGAGACAGGTTTCACCATGTTGGCCAGTCTGGTCTCGAACTCCTGACCTCACGTGATCTGCCTGCCTTGGCCTACCAAAGTGCTGGGATTACAGACGTAAGCCACTGCACCTGGCCTATTTCAGATATTTCTATATCATTCTACTTAACAGTTGTATTTAGTCTTCCATGATGTGGCACACACTAACTTATTAACCAGTTTCCTCTTGATGGGTATTTTGGTTGTTTCCAATCTTCTATGACTATAGACAATACTGTGCTTAATAATCTTGTGTGTAGGCCCGGCGCGGTGGCTCAAGCCTGTAATCCCAGCACTTTGGGAGGCTGAGACGGGTGGATCACAAGGTCAAGAGATCGAGACCATCCTGGTCAACATGGTGGAACCCCGTCTCTACTAAAAATACAAAACATTAGCAGGGCATGGTGGCGCGTGCCTGTAATCCCAGCTACTCAGGAGGCTGAGGTAGGAGAATTGCCTGAACCCAGGAGGCGGAGGTTGCGGTGAGCCGAGATCGCGCCATTGCACTCCAGCCTGGGTAACCAGAGCGAAACTCCGTCTCAAAAAAAAAAAAAAAAAAAAAAAAAAATCTTGTGTGTGTTATTTTGTATATGTGAAAGAGAAATTCCCCTAAATGTAAACATTGGATCAAAAGACAAATGTCTATCTAACTTTGATAGACATGGCCAAATTGTTCATAAAGGTTTTACCAATTTGTACTCCCACCTGTCGTTAGACTGCCTACTTCGCCATAGACTTGCCAAAAGTGTGGTGTATGTTCATTGTAGGTTTTTGTCATTGGGTTGGTGAGAAGCAGCATCTTAGTGGAGTGCTGATTTGTATTTCTCTGTGATTATGAATGAGGCTGAGCATTATCCATATCTTTAGGGTTCTGTATTGGGTTCTGTTTGGGGGTCTTGGGAGACTAGGATCTTCACCCCATTTCCCAGATTTGGAAGCTCAGGCCTTGGAGCTCCACATAAACGGAGCTAGACCTGAAGTGTGACCAGCTTCATAGCCCACCCTTACTTCCTTTGCAGACAAGCATGAGACGAAGCTGAAGGGAGTCATCTATTTCCAGGCCATTGAGGAAGTGTACTATGACCACCTGCGCAGTGCAGCCAAGGTCAGGAGTGGAGGGCGGCAGAGGGGGCCAGAGGGAAAGCCATGGGGACAGGGCTCTACAGAGGCTCCAACCCAGTCCTTGTTCTCTTTGTCAACTTTCTCTTCCTTTCTCCTCCCCTTCCCAGAAGAGATTTTTCCGCTTCACTGTGGTGACTGAGGTACCCCTCCCCACTTAGCTGTAACTAGCACATTAACACCTCCTGTACCCCACTCATCCCTGACCCTTGACTCTCCCGTCCATCTCCGTCCCTCCCCCAGGCCCAAGGGAGGAGCAGAAAGCAGGCTGCAAAGAGCAAGAAGCTCCTGTGGGCTTGGGTGCCTCCCTCTCCTTGTCTCCCTTTCCTGGAAATGACAGCAGGGTGTCTCCCCATGGGGTGCTGACGATGCTGAAGGGATGGCCGGAAGGGGTGGAGGGGACCCTCGCCGACTAGATTTGATAGGGAGAAATTGATAAACAGGAGATATTTGAGGCTGGGGCCCACTTCCCTAATGCAAGTCAGCCTCCCTCCCACCAACCCTTTGGTGCCCACCCCAGCCCTGATCTCTGCTCCTCTGGGGTCCTGGGGCCTAGCATCCTGCTTGTAGCTTTTTCTCTCTGCCCCTGTTTTTCTGAGAGGAAACTCTGGTCTTCATTGGAACGGCCCTTTGTGTCTGATCCTCTTGATACTCATTTTTGAACCCGGAGGTGCCAAGGACCAGTACCCCCGTTATCAGGGTATAGCTCCATCAGGGTCCAGGGAGCTTAGAGAGCCCAGGACTGCTGTGGTGTGAGAAGGGAACATTTCAGCCTGGCTCACATTGACTGGTGGGGACTAGGCTCTGGGCCTATTTAGGACTCAGCCTGAAGCTCCAAGGCTTCCTGGGGGCTGGGAAGGGAAAGGGCCGATAGGGAGGCAGGTGAGAATATTCCTGGGCATGGGTGAGCCCCATCTTAGAACTAACTCTCTTCCCTTGGCAGAGCCCGAACCCAGCCCTCACCTTCTGCGTGAAGACCCATGACCGGCTGTACTACATGGTGGCCCCATCTGCAGAGGCCATGCGCATCTGGATGGATGTCATCGTCACAGGGGCTGAGGGCTACACTCAGTTCATGAACTAACTGCCATGGGCCTCCTGGCAGAGCACAACTGGGACTTTAATATTCTATAAGGAGCTTGGTCCTGTGAGTTTCTAGGCTCTGGCCTCCTGAAGAACCAGCCAGAAGAAGAAAAGTGGAGGTGGCTGCTGCCTCCTCGGAGCCCAGAACTTGCAGTAATCCTTCAGGGTCCTGCCCCGGGCCCAGCCAGGGCTGAGGAGCTGTCACAGAGAGGACCTCAGCTCTGACCTGACACCTCTCCCCAGCCTGTTTTCTCTTTTCTAAAAGACAAATTATGGTACCATAAGCTGCCAAAGATCCCCTCCTGCCTCAGACCCCTTTGCCAGGGGCCTTGGAGGCTGAGCAGAGCCACATCCAGAGTGGGGTGATAGCTCAGGCAGCCCACTTCCCACTTCTCAAACCCCGCTCTGCCCCATTGTTCTCCCTTCCCTTATACTTTTTATTACCTTGCTCAAGGGCCAGAGATCTCAAGTATCATCCTTGAGGTCCCAGCTCCATCCCCTAGTTGCAGACCCATCACCGTGGTTACCATAGCGACTGCTTCATTGCCACGGTTACATACTAATTGCTGCCGCTCTGTGGCCCAGCCCACTGCTTCAGCTGTGGGCCATCTGAAGGTACATGCCATCATCTCTCCAGCCCAGGCCTCTGGGCATCTCGTGGTGGGGGAAGGGACCAAATACCTGCTCCCTGCCCCCTGCCTGTGTCTTCAGCCCTGATGCACAGCCTGCCAGTCCCCCAGTCCAGCCCTCTCCCTTCCACTGGTGCCTTGCTTAGAGCCAGAAGGGATGAAGCCGGGGGATCTAGGGAACAGAGGAGGAGCGTTGCTCTTGGGAGAGGAAGCTAGAAGGGTTATGGTTGGAATTCTGTACAGGGTTGAGTTTCTGACAGGGAAAGGGGGTTGCTCGGATGCTCCTAGAGGGAAAGCCTGAGCAGGAGAGGATGCAACAGAGGGGAAGGGCCCTGTGGTGCCGCCGCCCTTCCTTCAGCCTCCCGAGGGTCATGGAAATGGAGAGTGGAGGACCAGGCCTCCAGCTGTCTGGCCTTGCCCTTCACGCCTTAACACTAAGTCCACTTCCCCTGCTCTCCTTCCCAGCACTGAGCCCTTGGTTGCCTGGGCCCAGGCTGGGTGTTTTCAGTATTTGGAAGCATTTCAGCAGAACAATAAAGCCTTTGGACTACAGAAGCGTGTGGAAGGTGGGAGGTGTGGGGAATGGCACAGGGGCACCTGGGGCAGGAGGGCTAGGTCTTCCCCCAGAGCAGGATTGCCACCCTATTCAAGGTTCCAGGAGGGAGGTAGACCCCAACCCATGACCTCCAGGTCATGACCCTGCCCCCCACTTCACTCTGATCAGAGGACAGGCTGGGAGGCAGGAGGGCATGAAGAGGCAGGAGAAGGCAGGAACTGGCGCAGAGGTTTAATGGGGCAGGAGCTGGGGTCAGGTGAGGAGGGCTGTCACTGTGGCAGGAGGCTGAGCAGGAGGCTGGGTAAAAGGGCGGCTGCCAGGCAGTGGGGCTCCAGGAAAGCCAGCTGGGCCCCTGAGGTCAGCCGGTCACCATAGCGGTCCAGCAGCATCAGGACCACGCCATTGGTCCAGCCAAAGCCCTCCTGGGAAAGGCAAGGCAGTGGGGCCAAGTCTCTTGGAAATCCACAAACACTTGGTGGGGGCTGTGGGCTCTCTCCCCAGGGACAGTGGCCCTGCCTAGCCCCAGCAGCACCAGGGAGCACCAGTCAGCTCCTCCCCTGGCCCATGTGCAGGTGAGCACATTGGGACGTGGGGCTGGGGGTATGGGCAGCAGAGCCCAGGAGTTCCCTGTAGGACATTGGCCAGCCCACCCCAGGCCTGCTCACCTGAACTTCATACTCCCCTCCCCCACCGGGCTGTCCACCGTTGCTGATGTTATACTGGGGACAAGAGAGTGGTCTGTAGGTCAGGCACTGCCCCACCCCACCCAACCCCAGGGACAACAAACAACCAGAGCTCCTGGGGCTGCTCTGTCTGTCCAGCAGCCCCTGCAGTGCCCAGGAGTGGCCACTAGGCGCTGCCACTGTCCCAGCTTTGCTGGCCCTGGGCCCTGCCACAACTGACCCTCTAGCCTGAGCACGGGGACGTCCTGTGGGGCACAGGGAGGGCTTGGACCAGCTCACCTTCTCATACATGGCTGACTTTTGCGAGTAGACATCAAAGTTGGTTCGGATCCAATTCTGAGCCAGCTGGAAAGCCACTTCCTGGGCCCGAGGTAAAGCTGCCTTGGCCAGGCCTAGACCCCATCGCAGGCAGGGCTCACCCTCCAATTCCCCAACCCAGACAGAGCACAGGCTGCACCCTACTCTCTCCAAGGAGGGAAGGAGGCCTGGCCCTAAGACCTCCTTCATGAGGCCATGGGCCAAATTGCCCTTAATTAAGGGTCATAGTTTGAAGGGTGAATAGGACTGATTGCATTGGACAGGTTGGGTGGACATAAATGTTTGCCAAGTGGAGACCAGGAGAGCAGAGCAAGAGAGAGGACAAGGGGCCTGTGTCTTTTGTTCATGCCTCCCCAGCACCTGGGAGGCCCACCTCTCCACCCTGGGGAGGGCCCTGGGCTATACCCAGCTCTGCCTCCCTACCTCTGATGACCAGGTCCTGCAGGGGGGCCCAGGCATTGGGGAAGTCCCACTGCTGGCCTGTCTTCTGGAGAGAGGTTGGGATTCCATACTGGTAAGTCAGGATCTGGCTGTCCTAGAAGATTCCAGACATTCCTATGACTGTGGGTGGGGCTGGACTGGGAAGCCAGATGTCCCCTTCCTGCCCCTTTTCTTGGTTTCCTGGCCGTTCTCTTGGCTCACAGCTGCCCCCCGGTGGCTTCAGCAGGATCCGTAGGCTGGAACAAGGGGCACAACCACAGCGGCCTCCCCTGCAGGTCCTGCTCAGGGTCAGGAGGGGGCGGTGCTGCCTGCAGTGGGTCAGAGCCACCTGCTGTGTCCTCACCTCCAGGTATTTCAGAGCCTTGTCCGCCACGCCAGGGTCAGAGAAACACCCGGCCCAGAGTGGAGTGAGGTTGGATGGGTAAAACTCCCCGTTCTTCTTCTTGTTCTCAAGGTCGTAGTCGAACCAGGCACCTGCCTTCTCATCCCACAGGACTGCGTTCAGGGCGGCCAAGCGTTGCTCCCGCAGCGTTCTGTACTTCATGGCCTGGGATTCGTTCCCTGGGGCAGCACTGCCTTTAGTCCTGGCAGCCGGGGCCCTGCGTGCCGGCCCCAGACCTTTCATGACTCTAGCTTGGCCTCCTCCCTTTGTGTTTCTCTGCAAGAGCTGAGACACCCTGATGACCGAGGGGATGTGCCCACCTGGAGCCCAGCACATTTCAGGCCTGTAGGTCCTGGAATTTCCTGAGCACACGGCCCCGCCCTGCTCCCAAGGAATGACTAGAGCTGATTTGTCCCCAGGGTCTATCCTCCCAAGTGCACTGGCTGTGTGGATTCCCCTAGCTCTCAGGGGGTCAAGGGCAGCTGTCTGAGGGAGAGGGAGCGAAGGATTTTGGATATGTGGACTAGGGTTCCACTCACAGACCCTAGGGAGTCTTACAGTAAGAAAGGGAGGGGAGCCGGGTGCAGTGACTCAGGCCTGTAATTCCAGCACTTTGGGAGGCCGAAGCAGGCGGATCTCGAGGTCTGAAGTTCGAGACCAGCCTGACCAACGTGGTGAAACCCCGTCTCTACTAAAAATACAAAAATTGGCCGGGTATGGTGGCGCATGCCTGTAATCCCAGCTACCTGAGAGGCTAAGCAGGAGAATCGCTTGAATCTGGGAGGTGGAGGTTGCGGTGAGCCGAGATCGCATCATTGCCTTCCAGCCTGGGCAACAAGAGTGAAACTCCATCTCAAAAAAAAAAAAAAAAAGGCCGGGCGCGGTGGCTCAAGCCTGTAATCCCAGCACTTTGGGAGGCCGAGGCGGGTGGATCACGAGGTCGAGAGATCGAGACCATCCCGGTCAACAGGGTGAAACCCCGTCTCTACTAAAAATACAAAAAATTAGCCGGGCATGGTGGCATGTGCCTGTAATCCCAGCTACTCGGGAGACTGAGGCAGGAGAATTGCCTGAACCCAGGAGGTGGAGGTTGCGGTGAGCCGAGATCGCGCCATTGCACTCCAGCCTGGGTAACAAGAGCGAAACTCCGTCTCAAAAAAAAAAAAAAAAAAAAAAAAAAAGAAAGGGAGGAAGAAGGAGATTCGGGTGGGCTCCATTCGTCCTCTTGTCAGGTGCACAATCAGGCTTCCACTAGGGTAGGGCTCGATAGGCTGGGTTGCTGAAGGTCTGTCACCCCAGGGTCCTACTTCCAGTTCTATTGCCAAGCCTGCAGCAGGCAACCAAGCTCTCTGATTCCCCTTCCCTCCCGCGGTGCTCACCCAGCCTGGAGTAAAAGTTGCTCATCAGCTCTTCTGCTTGACATAGGAAGGCATTCAGGTCAACGGGCACAAGTTTGCTGGTTCGGATGCTGCTAAGCGAGTTGGGATTTGGGCCTCCGATGAGCCAGCGTGAAGAGAAGTCCCAGCCAGACTCAGCCCCAGCCTTGAGCTCAGCCCATAGAGCCTCCCGGTCTCCTGTGAGGACAGAGCAGGGAACCCAGTTAGTCCTGGCTGCAGGATAAGGCAGCCGTTGACAGGGGACCAGAGCCTGACACAGCAGGTGTGCAGCCGCCCTGTCCCCAGCCCTCCCTTGCACTGCCGCTGCTCACCTTCCGGCAAGGTGTTGGCCAACTCTGCGTCTTTGCTGTAGGACTCCGGCCTGGCAAAGAGGGGAAGTGGGCAGCCTGGCACTGGTAGTTGCTAAGCCCCTCTGTGGTCAAGAGGAGGCTGAGCCACCTTGATCTAGCTGCCCTTGGGCCACACAGCCTGGGATTGCAGAGGGCTCTTGATGTCACCATCTGAGAGGCCAGGCTAAGTCACTCCTCCTCCCGCCGAGAGCATTGTGATGCTCAAACCAGACTGAGCAGGTAAGAGATTGAGGGGTGGGCTGTTGCAGTTCCTCACCTGGGTCCCCCGTAAGGGACATAATAGCGATTCAGGAGGTAGTTTTTTCCTCCCACGCTCACAGAGACAGTCCTGTTCTTGATCCAAAAGTCCAATTCCAAGGCTAGCGTCTCAATGTTCTCCCTGGAGTGAAGCGGGCAGCACGTCAGCCCAGGCGCACTGCCCATCCCCAGCCCCAAGAGGTCCGAAGGGTGGGTGGGCCTGCAGAGCAGCACGGGGAGGGCGGTACCCACTGTAGGAAGGCGGTGTCATTGGTGTGAGTCAGGTAGCGATCCATCATGAGGGTCAAGAGTGGGGGCTGGCTCCGCTGCAGGTAGTACACGCGCCCGCCATTGGGGACATGCCCATAGCTGCCAAGGGGAATGCCTGCTGAGATGTCCTCTGCCCAGCAACTGGCACCAAGGCAGTTCAGCTCCAGGCTCGCGGAACACCTGCCTCTCCTCCCCACCTAGTCTGGAGGTGCCCAGCCCCCTCTCACGTTTTCACCAGGTCCAGGAAGTTCTGCAGCATGCCCTTCACCGTCTCAGCCATCTCTGACAGGAGCAGACCCTCCATGACCCAGTAGGAGTCCCTGGGGAAAGGGCAGCTCAGGCACCACCCTACTGCCTCCCTCTGCCCTACATACCAGCCAGTGGGGCACCCTGCCCTGGGTTTCTCCACCACTGCTAGTCCCACAGGCCCCCCTGGCCTCTCGGAACTGGGTACTCACCAGTAGTAGAACTCAACAAAGCGACCACCAGGCACAATGAAGGGATGGTCTGAGTAGATGAGAGAGAATCGCTCAGGGTGGCTGAGAACCTCCGGCTTCATCTGGAGTCAGGAGAGAAGGCAAGGGGAGCCTAGAATCCCCATGGAAGCAGAGTATTCAGGTGGCTGGGGGATCTGAGGCCCTGGGAGCCACAGGCTTTGGAGCCGGGCAGTCAGGCTCAGCTCTGGCCCCACTGCTGCTCAGCCGTATGATCAAGGCCTGGCCGCTGGGAGCCTTGGGGTCCTCATCTCTCACCTGCTGGCCTCAGGATTCCTGGCTCGATTTGGTGCTAGGTAGAAGCCCCAACCATTCAGCCAGGCACCAGGCAGGTGCCCACCAAGCAGTGGTCATTATGAAGACCCAGGGGAGGCTGGGTGGATGAGGAGGGTGCCAGTCCTCCATTTCCCCTTTACTCCCCATC